CTTCGCGAAAGCGTCTGCCCAACTGTCTTGGCCAAGCAAACACAGCATAACCCATAAGTCATTCACTTCTCCACAACAATTTAGATCAACAGCAGAGGCGGCTTCTGCCTCTTGAAAACTGTATCAACTTCTTTATTGTTTGTGCGACCAATATATACTCAAAACATTGACTTATTCTGCTTTCTCTATCAGATCTACACCATAGACGTTGAGTTTGAAGTTAGAAAGGGTATTCTGTAACGTAAGCATTGCAGCTAGGTGCCTAACCCAGAGTAACTCGAATAATCCTTATTTCAGATGACTAACGAATGTTATCGCTCGGTTTACGTTGCTTATGCACATTGGCCGAGATAGTCACTTTCCGAAGCAGCTTTCTAATGTCTCTTTCCTGTCATTAAATTGCAAAATAAAAGAATCTTACAAAGAAACGAGTCTTCTTAGCATGGTGACTGTATTCTGCCAAGGTAAAAGAGACCCAAGATGAATAGAAAAGGTGTCTAACTCAGTCTGTCGGTCTCCGGAAGAAGCTAGAGACTACAATTACCAAGAAGTCAGATAAGAATCCTTCACCCAGTGTTGCTATCGAAAATGTAGGGCGTTTTGACAAATCCACCGCTGAGTCAACATCGTCAGCCTTTGACGTGATGGAGTTGTTGTACCTAACCCGCCTAACCGAGGTTGCACTATCCCCGCATGACAAGTTCCCCTAAAAGCTGTCAAAGATAACCCATGTGGATCTTGATTCAGACATCGTACCTCCATATTTAAGCAATATATCCAGCGTAAATCATCAAGAGCAGATTGCTTAATCGTGTCATCTTCGAAAGGATGCAGGTTGCACAACAGTGTTGCGTGATGTGGCTAGACACCAGGTGTTGCGATTTACCCGTGCAGTTATCAGCTCTGAGCAACGGCAAAGCGAAGAGAGGTGGGACTTCTGGATACGAGAGAGCGGGGACTGTTAGGTAGCTTGAAAATCAACGCCAAGAATCAAAGCCCATAGTTCTCATCGGACCAATAGATTTTGAGTTCCTACTGTAGGAAGGATCAATAAGGGAAGTGTGCCTAGACGCCTTCTTACAAATCGAGAAATGCTCCATGTAGTCTAGGTCGTGGACCACACATGACCTTGGCTTGATATTCAGGCTATATAGAAGAGAGCTAGCGAGCCCCAGTGGTGTCATGGAATATATCTAGTGAAAGCGTATCAATTCGCTGTATTGAGTTCAGTAAAAAGTAGGAATTTCATCAGGCAAACGCACTTGAAATGATGGAATCTTACACTATTGACCTTGCTACGCAACATCCAAATTCTATTAAAATCTTTGATAAATTCGACACCTATCGTGTGGCTTACAAGTACATCAAGGATCAGCCTATCCATGCTTTCTTCATCATTCCCAGGCAACTGCCAGCTGGGCCGCGGCCATTGTTAGTTAGGTTTCACGGTGGTGGTTGGACCGAAGGTGAAGCCGATGCCTCTATTAGACCATTGTATGTGTAAAGATCATTTTTCCGTGCTATGGGTGTGTCTCACACTATCAACCATTAGCTTTCTTGAGCTAGCACTCAAGCATGGTGCTGTGATCGTCACCCCAGACTATCGTCTTCGCCCGGAGCACGAAATGACTGATGGCATTGACGACATCCGATCCTTCTGGAAATGGGTCGAGGAACACATGAAAGATGTTGTCCATCAAAAGTTTCCAAAATTAGAAATCGACCTCAATAACCTTCTTGTTGGTGGCGAGAGTGCTGGTGGCTATCACACGGCGCAGACTGCGCTCCTAGGTATGACTAAATTGCCCATTAAGGTGCTCTTTTTGCAGTACCCAGCCCTCGATCTTGCCAATGGGTTACGCGTTCCTGAAACATTGGGCCAGGATGGCGTTGAACATCCCGCCTTATTTTCCGAGGTCTGCCCCCTCTCTTTGGTCGAGGATTATTTGGCAACGATTGACAAGGACAAACTTTGCACTCGTGCCAAATTTGGTACACGAATGCCACTCATGAAGGCACTGGTTCAAGCTAACCAATTTGTCGACATATCTGGGGACAATGCCTGGATTGATCCAATGATAAGTCTTGAGACTGCCGGAAAGTTGCCTCCAATGCTCCTTTATCAGTCCAAAGAAGATGAGTCGGTAAGCATGAGACCAGAACCTTTTCTCCCCTGATGAGACTTAGGGATAAATAGACGCTAACGTGAGGTAGATCCCATGGGAACAGACCGAAGCTTGGGCGAATAAGCTCAAGAAATTACAACCGGACGTGCCACTATACCTCACTTATCTGACTGGAGACCACGTTTTTGATAAAAATCATAATATGTCAGAACCGTGGTTACAAGAACCACTTGAATTTGTTCAAAAGTATTGGCCGGCTCACGAAGGCGTAGTTTAAGCATAATGCCTAGGGCAAGCCCAAGTGACAAAGAACGTATCATAACAGTGAGAGCCCAAGTTGACACAATCGCCGTACAAGTGATATAGTTGGGATAGAGATTGAAATATTTAGCGATTCCTAGAGGAAGTCTCATTATTAACAACTTAAATTTACCAAAGCAGCAGTTACAGTGCCTCTGCGCCCGTGATTCTCTTCAACTCTTTCATCGTATGTTCCCACGCCTTTGTGTCAACGCCTTCGTATCTGAGCTTTTCAAGAATCTTTAAGACCTTGACTCCGGCAGTTTCATTATTGTTCCCAACAGAGTAGACGCCACTTCCAACTTCCCCGTCTGTTCCCCTGCCAACTTGAGTATTCTTCCCAAGTGGCACGCCAGATCCGCTGCCCCCAGCCAAGCCGCTTTTCGGGGGATATTTGGCACTGGTTGCCAAATACACGTGTCTGGCACCTGACTCGTCCTCTGAAACGAAGATGAATGGTCCTAGCATGGCGGAAGATGCTTGTAAGAGTAGTTTTGCCGCCCCCTTGTACTGGCGACCTATGCCGGTCTTCACAAATCCAGGGTAGTCGTGGATGAAAGACACTTCGGGTGCCCTTCTAGCCAGTTCTTCCAACGCAAGTGTAACCATTGACGAAATGTGTCCACGCTGGGACATCAGAGGGACCCCTTTAACATGAAGGTTAGATGTGTCTACTTCCCCCTCTTTTGTGGCTGCGAACACCGAGACAACTCGTCGGAGGGCTTGGCCTTTTTGAAGTAGGGGAAGGAGGTCAAGTGTAAATCGGAGTCTGGAATAATATGGCAATGCTAGTGATATAGAGAGGTCATCGGGTGTCTCTAAACCAAGTTATCAGCCAGTGATCTGGAAAGTATATGCTCTGCGAGATTGGCGTGACTAACGGTATCCCGAGTCGAGAGACCCTTGTGTCAGAAACAAGAGATTGATGGCAGTCTCTTTGCTTTTGATATCCCGACATACATCATCAACTGCCTTCATCAAGCTGACATCGGCCTTGATGAATATGAATTCTCCTTGCGCATTGAGTGCCTTGCATTCCGCTGTAATGCGGTCACCGGCTTCTTGTGACCTTCCAACGAAGTATATCCTCGGTCCGCGGGCATATTTGGCAAAGTGTTTCAGGGCATACTCCCCGATGCCACTCGTCGCACCCACAAAGACTGCGACCAATCCGGTTGGAAGTGCTGATGCGATTTGAGCATTTGAAGCCTGGATGTCTGTCAAAGAGACCATACTCGCGCTGTTAACGGACGACTCTTCTTGCGGTATTGGGTTGACCGTTTCACACTGAAAACAAGAGGCTCGATATAGATCTTGGAAGACTGAATAAAGAGTAATATGCTTTCAAATATGCTCACGTCCAATATCTAATGACCTCTATTCTACACAGGACGTACCACAACATCATTAAGTAATAATATGTCCGCTATGCTCCACACATGGAGAAACACGATCACCTGGATTAGCTGCATCCGATTCGGTTGACAGGTTGCAGCGAGCCCGGTGGGTGCGCCATCACTAGCATGCCTTGTCGAGCCGGAGACGGAGACTCCTGAGCGTGAATCCAAAGATCGCGGCTTGGCTTGTGGGACTTTGCGCGGCAGCGCCTGTTACTAAGTTTCTGGAAGAGCATCTTGCCAATTCGAGGCGTCCAATGACGGGCGTCAGAATACGGCGGCGGGCTAGGCGCGGGTCAATCATCACTCCCTGCACGGGGGATCGGTGCTCAGAGCTCCGATCCAAGGCCCCTATTTTCCTCGAATTTGTCTCTTGACAAGGACGAGGGTAACAGCAATCAAGGCCGATAGAGAATTATTCCGCAACTTCGCTGTTGGTCTGGTCTTCGTCGTAGAGTGCAATAGACCGCACCGCACTGCTGGTCCCAGGTGCACCATTGCACTAAAATAAGGACCGCAAAACCATGGCTATTAGCGAATATGTCTATAGTGCAACATGACTCACGATTCGTGATTGATGAGACCGTTCAGCATTAGATCTTGGGGGCCTCGATTATATTGTCATTCTATATCAGATGTAAGAATTAGTTGTATAGTGCCGAATCTCCAAACGATCGACCCGAAAACAAAACGCCTTGCCTGCTTTGAGGATATAAGGTCTTCGCTCCGTAATTTGTCGTGCCTTCATTCAACCCCGTTGACCTTCTTCGCTCTCTCCCATTCTTCTTCTACAATCCGAGCATGCTTCTCGCTCCTTGGTTCTAGCACAGAGCTGTATTTGGTAGGAACATTGATAAGTCCCGGTTCCGCCTTGATCTCGGGTTTGATTTCCTTGCCATCGGGTCCAATCGGCCTCTTGATATTGAATGCCCATAGCACTCTTGCTGTATTAATGAAGAGAGAATTCCTCGCAAGGGTTTCGCCCTGACAAAGTCGGCGGCCAACGCCAAATGGGAATGTATGGCTGGCCAACTCAGTAGAGAAACGGCCGTCTATGATAAATCGGCTTGGATCCCAAGTGGTCGGATCCGGCCACTTGCTCTCGTCAAATTGAATAGTCCTATACTAATCAGTACTCACCGCCCCACGATATATCATTTAATTGCGGACAGGATGCTTACCACCAGTTCAAAACCAGCACAGCGTTTTTTGGGATGAAGAAGCCATCGTACCAGTCATCTTCCGTAGCGGCATGGAAGAAGCCGACCTTGGTGATAGGCCACCATCGCAGGGTCTCCTCGACCATTGCTGAGATGTATGGCAAATTCTCCCTGTCTTCGAATGATGGCAACCTGTCGCTACCAACAACGCGGTCGAGTTCTGCCTGGGCTATCTTCACAGGATCAGGGTAGAGCTGGCAAGCCAGCACCCAAACGTTGAGCATGGTGGAAGTGGTCTCGCTTCCACCTTCGATCAGTGTGCCAGCGGTGTAAGCGGCAACCTCTTCGTCGATGCCTTGACTTTCTGGATCAGAGGCATAGAAGTCGCGCACGAAACAATTCGGAGCGGTTCCTTCGTTGTACTTCTGGATAATATCTCGGTACAGACTAATGAAAACCTCGCGATCCCACTCAAACCATTCTGCGACAAATATCAGTCAGGGCATTTCACTGTCATGGCTGCTACACATACTGCGGCCAATTGCCCACCAATTTTGCACCATCCACGGCGGCAATTTAGCTAGAGACGGGAAGACATCAACAAGCCATTTGCCTGGCTCTGCCATGATAGTCGCATGCTCCATGATTTGGAAGATCTTCTGGATCCACGGGTCACTCCAATCGGGGACTCGATGACCATAGGCAACAGTCATGATCACACTTGTAGAGTATCGTCGATTGATATCGTACACAGCCGTGTCATCTTTTGCGTGCAATGTGTCATACAGCACTTGCTTAGACTCGAGGTCCTGGACCGGCTTATATGAAGCGATGGCATTGGCATTCAGAGCTGCGTGGCTTAGCTTGCGGACCTTTCTCCATTTCTCATTATACGGCATGAAGGGTTGACGGTTGCCATTGGAGCCAGCATCCATGAACATAGGCATGGGAGGACGCGAAGAGTACTTCGCTCCTCTCTTGTCCAGCAGATCCGAAACCGCCTTGGAATCATTCAGCCAGATCCAGTCCGCCTCGCCCATCCGAGTATAGAAGATCCGTCCATATTTCTTGACCCAGCCTCTCGTGATCAGGGGGACTTTGTCAGGCTCTGTCAGTGATAGCAAGTTTCCGAGGATAGGAAGTCCCCAGGGACCAGGAGGCAGATGCTTCCGCCGTTTGTCTCCTGAGAAGAAGAAATATGCAACCGACGCCACCAACTAGCACCGGGACGGCGTTGAGCATTGGCGTCTTCCACGGTTATGGGGGAGGAGCCACCTACCAGTGAAGCCCACAGCAGCCAGTGATCCCTGATCCCGGAAAGACGGGAAGCCGCAGGGGCGGCTGCCGATGTTGAATTCCCGTCCATTGCGGCGGGACTTTAACCGAACGAAGGTCAACAACTTGTTACCTGATTCAGACCTTCTCTCTACTGACGAAGGAGGCCAAACAAAAGACGCCGATGTTCAGTGCATCCGGGCAGAATAGCTTGCCCTCTTCCCCCAAGTATGTTTTGTAAAGCGTTTCCCCTCATTTGTCGCCAGTCCCCACGAAACCATGTAGTTTTCCGTCGGGAGCGGCGCTTCCCGCAGCGTCCTATGGCTCCGGCTCACCGCTCCCCTGTAAGGGCGTGATTGCCAATGCACCTAGCAGTGTTTTGGGGTCTTATCTGCGGAGGTGACTTCTGTAGGCGGATCCTGCGTCCGCGTCTAACTTGAAGTTACTGATATGACATCACGTGGGGTCCTCCTTGCAAAGCTCCATTATCTTTGAAGGGTGGCTGTGATGGAGAGTCGTGCAAATAGCCGGGAAGTCGGGGTTCATGTTAGGGGCTGCTGGGCGCCATCAGACGCCAATGAGATTTGCGATCCAACAGACGAGCATTGGATACGAGTTTGGGTTAGCGTCGATCCTAGTCTAGCATGTTGTACTCCCACACGATTTCGATATGCCGAAAGCGATGACAATGCGATCCTCTTATACCGTCATTTACGACATACCGGCGACATGAATCAATCCGTCGCCGGGACTTGCATTGCTCACCCTGGAAGCCTCAATCCAATGTATAAGTAAAGAAAAGCCCCGTGCGATTAGCTCGAGGTCCGAATGCGACGATTCAAATCACTTACATCCGTATCCCGCCATCGAAACAGTCTATCGGGTTTCGGATGACCATTATGAATAATGAGACTAGCAGAGCACTTATTCTCTATATAAGGTCTCCTGCCTCGTCCTTGTCATGGAGAGATAAATCATCAATTCAAACTTTCCTCATCCATCATCATTCATTCTGTTATCCATCATGACCGCCAAATCCCCCAACAATAGGGCTGCATATCTCGTGAGCACCAAAGCGTACCCTTTGGAGGTGAAACCGGCACCTTACACGCCGCCTGGGAACGATGAAATTGTGGTCAGGGTTCATTCAATTGCTTTGAATCCTGTAGACTGGTTGAAACAGACCATCGGCGACTTCGCTTTTCCCTGGATCAAGTATCCCGCTATCGTGGGCAACGACATTGCAGGCGAGGTTATTGAAGTCGGCACAGGTGCAACCCGCTTCAAGATCGGAGACCGAGTTGTAGCACTGGCCGTTGGAACGGACAAACGCAGCAACAAGGCATCTGAGAGCGCTTTCCAGGAATGCGTCGTCATTCGCACCCATATGGCGGCGCAAATACCGGAATTCGTCAGCTATGAAGAAGTTGCTGTCCTTCCTCTTGCACTCGGCACTGCCGCCTGTGGCTTGTACATGATAGATCAGCTTGCCCTGCCGCATCCGATGGTAGACCCCAAACCCAATCGCGAGGTCCTTGTCGTCTGGGGCGGCTCAACCAGTGTGGGAAGCAATGCTATCCAGTTAGCCATTGCCAGCGGTTATGAAGTTATCACAACAGCTTCGCCTAAGAACCACGCCTATGTCAAGAGACTTGGCGCATCGGCGGCGTTCGACTACAAGAGCAAGACTGTCGCCAAGGACATTATCGAAGCTGTCGGAAATCGGACTCTGGCCGGTGCCATAGCGATCGGAGAGGGCTCGACGAACCCATGCATTGAGATTGTTGCCGGTTGCAAAGGCAAGAAGTTTGTTGCACAGGCTAGCTTGAGCGGTGTTGGCGTCCCAACTACCATTCTACAAGCCATTGGGATGTTGTTTACAATGAACTGGGCCAAGTTGTCAACCTGGAGAAAGGCAAAGACGAACGGCGTCGGCTACAAGTTTCTATGGGGCAGTGATTTGATGGCGAATGAGGTAGGAAAGGCCATCTTTGAAGACTTCTTGCCGGAAGCACTTGCCAGAAAGCAATTTGTCTGCGCGCCAGAGCCCCAAGTTGTTGGACACGGACTGGAGAAGGTCCAAGAAGCATTGGACATCCAAAAGAACGGAGTTTCAGCAAAGAAGATTGTAATAACCCTTTGAATATCAAAAACGGATTCCTCTAAAGATATACAAGTGGTGGCGATGATTATTTGTGACAAAATAGGAATATGAAGGAAAGTGTTTCTCGGCTCTGTTATCGTTTGATTAATTTTAAGGTCTAAGTCTAAGACTACTAATGGGACATTTTTTATTATGGGCTTCTCATAACATGGTCTACTTTGGTGGCCTCTTGATTCGTTGTGTCTATTCAGTCCTTTTTTACCAGTACTATTGCACCTCATTCAATAAGTTGGGTCGTATCTGCTATCCTTTTCATCTTCACCCAGATAATCATGTACGCCAAGGGCCGCGTGTATCGTCAACTGAATTCCAAAACAATATGTCAATCCCACAACCATTCCCTTCAACTTCAACAGAGGTAAGTTTATTAGGACCACCTTGTCCGACTAAATAGTGGTAACAAAATATTGTCTACCAAAGACTTCGGCTTCTTCTATGCTTCGTTTCCAATGCTCGCTTACCCCTGAAACCGCCACATCTGTATGGGGAAATACCGTATTCGGAAAGTGGATGTCGCTTGCTTCCCACTGCTCTCCTCTCCAATCTAAGAGTCAATTGAGCGCTCACAGGGAAGAGATCAAGAACTATTTTCTCATAGTCGAAAGTCACCGTATAGTATTGAATTGCCCACTCCTACATAGACTAGAGGGATGACTTCCCAAGACTGGCTCCACGGTTCGCACTCGGGCCTCATCTCTATCGGCGGACATGATCTGTATCTACGCGCAGACGGTCCCGATCGAGTGTCCGGACAACCAGTAGTGATCCTCGAGTCTGGCCTGGGAGGCTCGTCGGCCTCCTGGCCCCTCGTGACTCGCTACCTGACCCCCTTCATCCGCGTCTACACGCACGACCGCGCCGGCTTAGGCAAGTCGGAGATCAACCCCTTCGCCAACCAGTACGAGCCGGGCGTCTACGCCGAGAGGGCCGCCGAAGACCTCGACAAGCTCCTGCGGGAGGCGGGCGTGGACGGGCCGTTCATCCTGGTGCCGATGTCATGGGGCGGGATTGTCGCCCGGGAGTTCCTCGAGCGAAGAAAGGACGACGTGGTTGGCATGGTCATGATTGAGTGCGTGCAAGAGAGGACGTCTGAGCTGAGGCCGATTGACGCGCCGAACACAATGGCGTTCCTGCGAGGACTGGATTTCTTCGAGGTGGTAGGAGTCAAAGAGAGGCACCGTTTGACACCAGCAGAGTGGCAGGTATGTTCGCTCTAGATTGCCATGGATAGTGGCTATTTCAGCGCCTAGCTGACTTGACTGTAATAAAGAACCAACTGCAGGAAATCGCGGAGAATGGCCCGCAGACTGCTGTGGAAACGCTCGCGTGGCCGCTGACAGAAAAGACGCTCGGTAGTAAGAAACAATTTGAGAGGCAAATTCTCGGGAGCAAGCCGGTTAGTGTCATTAAGGGGAACTCGGCGCGAGAGTTTCACGACGTGTATAAAGCCGGTGTCGCAGCCGGGAACGGCACTGCAGAACAGCGGACTATTGTTGCGAAGATGCTTGAGGGAATGGAGGAGAAGGATGATATGTTGCAGCGAGAGCAGTTGAAGCTATCTTCTGTTTCTCGCTTTGTACAGCTAGAAAAGCCCGGCCATCTGGTAATCCTGGAGGAGCCTGAAGCCATAGCTGCAGAAGTGAAGTGGGTTCTGGAGTCATCCATAAAGAACCGATCTTAGTTGCGAGATGCACACTTGACTTCGGAGGCGTATAAACAAATGGTGGCTTCATTTAGTACTGAAGGTTTCAGGGGAAAGGGGCAATTAGCCTGCTAATAAGATGGGTTTAGTTGTTCACAGGGGTGCAGACGTGATACTTGACTTAGACACGACTGTATATGATTATTAGAGAGGTCCTTCACATTTCGAAGGGCTAGACTACTCTCGGAGAGAAGTCTTGTAAAAGTGTAACATTCTTATTTTCACATCACCATCACGGAACAGAGTGTTGCCGATAAACTCGAGGCTGATCTTTCCTGATGCCGGTCTGAGTGCTCTTAAGTCGTAGTCAATTAAACGGGGACAGACTACTTGATACTATGTGAGGACTCTCGGGAAACGCGACAGGATATGAACCATCCGTAAACACAGCGCTCACAGTGCTCCTTTTTCTATAATCCACCAATCCGAATCTGTATCTGAAACCCCCGCCCACATCCTCAGGTCTTCTGCAGTCGATATCACCTTAGCCATCTGAGCCGCTGCTTCGGAAGGTCGCGCAGAGAGCAGCATAATGGTGGGTTAAGTCGAGGACGTTCTGCGGCAAGCTCGTCGCCTGAACGATGCTCCGCACCTTGAGCGCCCCCTCGTCCTCAATAAGGGTCCGAACGGTGCGCAATAGCTCGGGGCTGAATTCGCTGTACCAGCGGTATTGCCAGGTCACGAGCCGTATGGTAGCAGCAACGGTCTCCCTGGTATTCTTCTGCTTCTCGAACACTCGTAGGATGCCTGTGAGTGCCTTAGGGCTGAAGCGCTGCGACAGACATGCACGGTATGCTTCAACAGCCTCCTCAGTGTGTTGAAGACGCTCGGCTAGCGATCCCAGAATCTCCCACTCCTCGGCAGACTTCTTATACTGCATGGATTGAGCGCGATATTGGGCCATTTGTGTCCGCCAGATGGTGTACACTCGCAGATCCTCGTACAGAACCATGAAGAGGCTGTCAAGCCAGCGCTCACATAGACGTTTGTTATTGAGACGGGACAGATTATCTTCTTGTTGCGCACCCTGAACGAAACATTAGTTTGAGCACAAATAAATAAGGAAAGACTTTGGGATCTCCTACGTTCTCATCTGCCTTGACTTCGCTAGGGTCAGCAGTACTTGTAGGCTTCTCAACACCATTGCCATCACCGTTAGGAACTAGTGTCGGAGCAGTAGAATCGGCATCCGTCGGTTTCGGCGCAACATCGGAACCTTCATCGTCACTTTGCTCGCCGTTGGTTGGTGGTTCAGGAGAACCTCGAAGGCCATCAGTGCTGGGATTTCGGTTTGCGGCTTGTGTTGTGGCGGGCTCCTGCTTCTCATTTCTGTATTCATCCTCCATTACAAAGACATTGCTGCGGATCTTCAACAACTGGTCCCATCCGATCTTGGCGGTCATCTCCGTCAGGATGCTGTATGCCTTCTTGAAGGTGCCACGGTACGCCGCAGCTCTCAAAGAGAGCAAGCTCGGCTCCACTTGTTCCGAGTACCTCGACTCTGGCTCGCTGTCGATTTCGTCTAACCTGGTCTCGGGCAGAGTGGGCAGCAGGACGTCCTTAGGTTCCGGCATGATCGGCGTGTCCTTATCTTGATAGGTGAACATAGGGCAGGAGTTCAGAATAGTGAGGGCGTTTTCCCAGTCTTCCATGGCGACATAGACCTCGGCCAGTCGCGCCCACGTGCCAAACTCGCTCGGTGCAGCGATCGTACTTCGATCGGCGCATCCCAGAGCCATCCGCAACCGCTCCTCCTTCTGCTCTGGAGTCGCGGCGGTTCTTGCCTTCTTCAAAAGGAATTCGGCTTGAGTATCGAGCATCACATAATCCATAGGAGTTTCCTTCAGAGCCTGGTGGAGTATTCTGACACCTTCCACCTCCTCGTAACCCATGAACAGAACCTTTGACAGCAGAGATGCAACTTCAGTGTTCTGTGTGCGCAATTTCTCGAATAGATTGATGCCGGATGCGTAGCGCCCTGTCGTCTGGAAGTATTTCAAGAGGCCGGTCGTGAGGTGATTAGAAACAGAATTCGGAACCTGGACGACTGAATCGGAGCCCAATTGCCATCCTGTGAGAGAAGGTATTAGTTTATGTTCGCCAAAACAAGACGGTCCGTATGCAGCATTACCTCGGAAGAAGAGCTGCTCTGCGGCGCTGAGAAAGCGATGCTCGGTCTCGGTGTTGGTGACGGGGTTGAATCTCCTAACTCCCATGATCTTTCGAATGGTATCACCACTGCCGTCGTCGGCGTACGAGTAGGCTCGCAGGACGCTGCATAGGTAGGTCTCGAGCCACAGTTCGTCTGTGGCTTTCCTCTTCTCGCCTCGCTCATCGATGCAGTAGCTCTCAACACTGCCGGGGATGGCAACGTGAACTCGCATATCCAGCCGTGAGAAGGCATTGTAGCAACTGCAACCGGGATAGTTAGCTAGAATGCTGGGCAAGAAGCTACCGTAGCTTCAACGTACCAATACAGGCCCTGGACAATCTTGGATGTTGCAGTCTGCCCGTGCTCCTTGTATGTTAGGGTGTTTACATAGGCGGCAAGACTGGCGGAGGACGAGGCATCGACACCGGTGACATGATGGTAGGCTCCAATCTTGAAGGCCAATTGTCAGCAGTCATTCTTGAATCAAGTAAGTGGCTTGTCTCGGTACGTACGTGCTTGCCGGGATTTCGGATCGGCTGTTTGAGGATGTGGACGAGGTCGGGAGGGCCAAGTTCGCGGAGGGCAATGAGCTGCTCGGTGCGAGCTTCAATTGACTCGTGCAGCACCTCCTCGGTGATTCTGGAGAGTGAGAAGTCAGCGCGCATGGACACAGAAACAGAGGAGCGAGTCTACACACTCGGGGACGGCCGGCGCAACCATCGTGGCGTGGGAGCTGCCTTGAGGAATGACCTCGGGGGAAACGCAGGCAGGAGAGCTCTGTTTGCAGTGAATCAATCGGCTGGGCTCATCAAAACATCGCCAAAAGAATATCGCAGATGAGATACGACACAGTATCTGGTCGTGGTGGCTTCTCCGGTTGGTGTTGAAGCTTCACGTGGTTACTGTAGTCAAGACCAGGTTTCTCGAGGATCGTCAACTATCTAATATTTGTCCTCGACTGAGAGAGATCCAGCTGCTACTGCTAGTCCAGGCTGCACGCGCAACGGCCAGCCAGCACCACGCAACCAACTGCTCGGCGTTGAGCAGTGGAGCTACGCAAGGGTTAGGCTTCGTTGACGGCCGCTAGCCAGGGGCACGGGCCAAGGATCAGCTGCCTGTGGCTCTCCTTCTCAGTGCCTGAGCCACAGTAAGCTTTGGGGATACTTGTCGCCAGGTCCCTAAATTGAAATGCAGCCACAGATCGATCGCGTCGTAAAAGCTACCTAACGGGTAGACGCGCGCACTCTCTTGGAAATCGCATCGTGAACTGTATCAGAGAGATGGAATGCCGCGCAGCCTGTCATCTTCTTGTCCACTATAGCATTCAGCGTTAGATGCTCCCAAGATGGTGAATAGATCTCCTCCGGCCGCGATAGTCAAACTGGAGGGATTCAATACTGACAGAAGTGTCCTTCTATAGCCTGCGTTCGCCGCCATCAACCTCGAGCCCGAGGAGAGTATCGATGAGGAAGTCGACACCACCAAAGAGCTTCAGGTATGGTCCCCTTTTGAGCCCCTTCTGCGTCCCATAGGCGATTATATGTTAATGCTTTGGCCAGGTCGACGATGCCCTCAAGCTCTTCCAGAACGCCTTGAAGCTCCACGCTCAAGGCCCTCGATTCTTCAACGAAGCGTCCGATGCCTATGATGCCCTCTTCAGATCCGAAATCTTCAAGTACCCCGAGGCCGTCACCGAATATGAGCGCTCCGAACGACAGCAAGACCCTTTTGCCCTAGAACTGTCGTTTCCCACCGGGCTCGATGTTACTGGCACAGATCCCGACGGCACCGGCAGTAGTTTGCCCCAGGCATTCTACCTCTCCTACAAGAACCATGGACAGTTCATTCTCGATCGCATCAGGCACAAGGCGCGCACGGCAGGACCGTCGGCCGACGAGGTCTTCGAGTCACCAGAGGTTCGCGAGGATGCGGGAAAGGCGCTGTACGACTTCACTGCTGCGCTAGATCGCGATCCGTCAGACGCCGAGCTCTGGAGGAGGACTGCGAGAACGGCTGCGTTCCTGAAGAGCGTGCGCGCAAGTCGATATTGTCTAGAGTCAGCCATAGAGCTAGACGACGACCCAGTAATCGTTGATGTCGAGCCTCCATCTCTGGCAGAAGGCTTCGCTGGAGAACAGCTAAAAAGCCAACTAGAGGTGTTATCCGACAATATGGCTCTGTCCCATCCCATCATGGGCCCCTATGTTCGCCGAGAGCTCCCATCGCTACTCAAGCGATTTCTCGATCCTGCCCCTTTCTTGCCGAATCCGACTACTGAGCTTGCCATTCCAAAACCGCCATATATGGACCGGAGTCTCGCAAAAGTGGTCATTGATGTACCTAATATGTCGTGGGCGGACCTTGGCATGGCTCTAGTGCAGTTCATCAACGAGCAAGGCTTTCTCGGACAAGCTCTCGACATTCAGCTTCCCGAGTCAATGGACGAGGACGAGGATTTGGTGCAAATGGAGATCGACAAGCAACTGCAAGCAGCGGACGACACTGCAAAATCGACCGACGAAGTCGCTGTGGCTTCTCCAGTAGAAGTCCCTGAACAGCCAAAGGACATCAAGGTGGCATCGAAAGACACCAAGGCGGCAGCTGATGCCCCTGCGCCGGAAAACCCGCGTAGAAGTGTGTCAATTCCTTCACGAAAGCGCTCCGTATCAGTCGCGGGCTTGCAGGATGGAGGTGACGAGGAAGGTGGCGACACGAAGAGAAGCAAGCGTACCAGACGCCGAGACACTGCAACAGTCGAGGAGGTTGTCGATGAGACGACTCTCCGTGCAAACCAGCTGCAGCCGTATCAAGGAGCGGATCAGAACCTGTTTCAGCTCACAAAGAACATCCTGGAGAACTTGGGCGTAACCGATAAAGCCACTGTTGCGAAAATAGGCGAGATCATCGACTCTTGCGCTGCAGAAGAACGGACCTCAAAAGTCACCGATCAGCCATCTATTGACCTGCGTGATACTCTTGCCTCATACGACGAGGGCAACGCAAAGATTCTCCTCAACAAGAAAGAGCCTCCTGCTCTAGGGCTTAATGCGTTTCTGGAGCACACAAAATCAGGCTCTCAGCATGCCTCGGATACGCCTACTTTCGATGAACGAAGTGGTTTGCATGCTTTTGTAAAGAAGCTCAACTCTGCCTGGTCGACAGCACAAGATGCTGCTTTCGAGTGGGTACGCAGTATCTCTAAAGATTACGAGTCCAAGAAATGGTCAGATCATATGAAGACCGCGGTTGTCCAGGTCATCAGTCGATTTGACGAGGCCATATATGAGCGAACGAATTTCGAACTAGATCGACTTCACCGGTCACAGAAAGATGAGAATCTTCTATCGGAGCTTGACTGCATGATACAAATGCTTTTCGAGCTCTATCTAGATGTCTATGAGCGTATAACAAACCCGAATAGCGTCGTTGATTATGCGATCAGGGTGGAGACCAAGGGACGGCTGGGCCGTTGGCTAGATCTTGCATCAGAGCTCAGTCGATCGAGACAGGGCGATAAGGCGGATGAGAGCCTGTCCCTTCGTTTTCTCTGGGCCTGTGTGTTCTCCACAACCCTCTCCCAAGAAGTCGATGCAGATCATATCCTCAGGTGCTGGACAAGCCTTCGCGATTTCCTCGCAAACGTCGGCAGTGTCGACATATATCTACCGAACAATGCCGTCATACCAGAAATATCACCAGCAGCAGCGGACAGAGAGATTTCGAAGATGACGACCATGGATTTCTTCCTAACCCTATTCCAAGAGGAGATGACAGACCCGGTGTCCGTTATTGATACTTTGGAACCGGTCCTCAATCCTGACTCTGTATTTGTGACTATTAGCAAAGCTAAAGAAGTCAACGGCGACAAGGGCGATAGTGCCTCAAAGACAACAAAAGTACCCATAGCAGAAGTTGCCAATCAGGGACTTCGAGACTTGTGGAAGTTCCTACTCAACAGCAGTACAGATCTCCGGCTTTTCCTGTGGTCGCGACTCAGTGATGCTTATGGCGCGATCAAATATACGACAAAGCAATTCTCGTGCCTCTTGAAGAGCATCGAAATGGTGGTTGCCGATCTCGATCATGACACCTATAAGACAGCTCCTCAAGAAGCTCGAAAGACACTACTGCTGAAGTTGATCAAGTCAATTGATGACCTGATGGTCTCCGCGCTTTCCCTGGCCCTCAATGACAATAGTGCATTTGACATCATTGATGAAGAACATATTCGATCGACCTCTGCCGCACTCGCCAAACATAATTGCTTGCTCCATATTGCCGCCATGTTTGAAGACGAAGTTCGCTTTGGTATTTGTCAGTCTCCCTCCAACAGCTCAACGTATCAGCAACTTGTGCAAAAGCTACGGGAGATGCAGGTCAGGACTTGGTCGTTGCAGTACACGATGTTGAAGGTCGGCATCCATCAGAATCAGACGATTTTCAAGACGCCAGACAACGATCTTGCTGAATATCTTAATGCTGTGCACCAAGTACTGGGCCTGAGAAAGGCCTGCAAGGCATCAAACAAGATATTCTTGAGAATGATGCGTATCGAGCTGCTGAAACAGAAGAACATCGAAAATTGGGAGGACTATCTCGGTCAGGTTCTGTATGACCTCCACGGATTGAAATTGGGAGTCGGCGTATGGGAAATCCAGGATCATGGATGTCCAACTGAGAAACTTGAGAAGCGCGCTGCCATGCAACTTGTGGACAAGGTCACCGTCCTAGCAAATCGTATGCCGATGAAGGATCTTCTAAAATCAGATCTCAAGAACACCATCGAGCATATGCAACAGGCTATCGGCCAGACGAAGTCCACAGCACAAATGATCCACAACCTCCGCAACTTCACCGAATACCTCAAGAAGCCCATTCATCCACTAAGGCTATACCAAGCCCTGTCTGGAAACGTCACTTTAGATGCGGTGACTGTGCACACTCCGGAGAGTGCTTTGGCAGAACATGGGTGGTTCTTCCTTCTGGGCATGATCGCACTCACCAAGTTCAAAGGCGTAGATCTCAATAGACGACAAACCCCAGGCGCTACCGACGACCTGAGGATTGGTGCGACGTTCTTACGACTACAATTGCAGTTTACCCCTGATCGTTGGGACGCCTGGTTCCGCTTGGCCGAGTGTTTCGACTATGAGCTAGACGAAGCTGTACTATGGACTGCAGACAAAATGAACAAAGATCGAGGAGAGCTGGTTAAATTTCAGCGGAACTCAATCCACTGTTACACTCTTGCACTGTCAAACTCGCACTCTTGGGAACCAGAAACGGACGAAGACGCGGACGCTTTGAACGAACTGCATCTGAAGTTTGCTATGAGGCTCTATGCGTCCAGTCGAGAGCCTTTCGCCATGGAGCCGTTCCGGCATGCCGATCAAGAGCGATTCTTCATCGAGAACCATGGCGTTGGTACATACAAGAAAATCCTTCACGAGGAGATGAGCGATTACAAAGTCTGGAAATTCGCCGCCCGACTGTTCAAGCGGGCAATGGCTGGGCGGCCAAAGGACTGGAAGAACCCCTATATGCTCGCCAAGTGCCTATGGAAGATGTACCAGAAACCTCTTGAAACACTTGATGTCAAGGATCGAGAAACAAGACCTTCGATGGAGGCGGTCATCGCAGCCCTTGAGAAGTCAATCCACATTGTATCACTTCTTCCCAAGCCCCGCCACGGCCAAGATCCCATACTCGAGCCACATTACAAGATGGTGGCAGTCCTGTATAAACTTGTATCGCGAGGAGACTTGTCGCCACAAGATGCAGCTGATATCCTATCAAAACAACCGTATGCTGTCCAACCCAACGAGGACATCAATGTCAGCGAAGCCGATGGTTGGGAAGGACTGGTGATACAGAATCTGCGGCATCTCCGTGACAAAGACAAGTCTAACTGGCAACACCGCATCATCATGCGACATGCTCGCATCCTGTTTGATCCAGAGGACACTTCAGCCGACAATTACTTCCAAGCCAAAGCGGCGTTCAGTGTTCTCCGCGAATCAATGTTCACAAAGACCATGGTGATGAACGTGTGGAAATGTGATGCGGAGCGTCCCGGTCGACATCACGTCTATACCGAGCAGTATGTCCGCTTCATGGTCAGTCTCTTGGTTGTCCTTAAAGACCGGGTGAATCTAGAGGCTATGCTCCGACGTATACGAAAGAAAGGAGCTGACTTCTACCACTTCGCCGAGTTGTGGGCTACATGTGTTCAACAATACGTACGCCTCCTACGGCAAACCTACCAAATCCCGCCTGTCGAGGAAGACGTATTTAAGAGTATGTCACCTGAAGAGTTTGAGATTCTAGCCGAGCGGATCGCTGGCTGGGTTGGCGAGCGTGAGAGGGATCATCATGCACTCAATGCTTTGAAGGACGCGATCGAGCTGAAGAAGCTCAATGGCGGCTTGACGAGGGCAGGGGCAATTGATGACCTGACAAATGACTCCTACTCAATTCTGTACCTAGACATCGCTTCAGAATTACCCGGTCCAGATCCGGCAACGATCGTTGAAGAGCGTGAGCGGGAGAAACCTAAGGATGGCGATGGCGAGATGACAGATGCACCCGCCTCCACAAATGGTCTGCTCAAGCCTACCGATAAGGATGGCGATGAGTCAATGAAACTCGGTTCCTTGATGCGGCCCTCGCCTGAGCCAGGTCAGGGAGAGAAGATGGAGAAGCAGCTGTCCAACACAGGCGATCACGCCGTTGCCAAACGCAGAGTCGTCGGCGTTCGTCGAGCAGATATCCTGCGCAAGGCCGAGCAAGCAGCCCTGCGTGCCACGGAGCCACCACCCAAGTCCGCAGTCAGCGCTGCCTCCTCGGGACGGAAGTCTCGCATGGGAAGCACGAGCAGCGGCAAGAACGGTGCCACCACGCCTGCGCCTGAGGAGCACAGTGGCGACAGCGATGCGGATGAGGACACCGAGATGAAGGATGACGGTGGTGATGGCGATGGTGATGGCGCCGAGGAGCAGGACGGTGAGGAGGAGGACAAGGCTTCCAGTCGGGCGTCCAGCCCGCCTGGCACAGTTCACGACGATGCCGATGATGAGAGCGATCTTAGCGACGTGCCCTCTGACTTCGACGACGATCAGGACATTCCTATGCCTACTATGTTTCCCAACCTGAGGCGAAGCGTGGAAGCTGGAAACGTATCAGGTAATCATGATAGCGACGCCGATGAAAGCTCGGCGGACGACGAAATAAGCTCACCTCCAGCCGATGAGGATATTGAAGAAGGCGAGGATGAGGACGAAGGTGAAGGCGAAGGTGAAGCGCAGGATGAGGATGGCGAGGAGATTGAAGAGAGCAATTGATGTATTACATATATTGTATAACATAGACAGAGGTTTTGATATAGCTGCGAAGCAATAACCCTAATCAAGGGGACGGTTTATTATAGTGGTATTAATCATCTATCACACCGTGAGAATCGTGACTATTGGCCGCGGGGGACTGATCTTAACAGTCGAGACCGTCTCCTATCCTTCAGTAAGTACTCTCGTCCAGTCAAATTTCCGCCATTTTTTCTTGAAACTATCTACTCGGGGGTCATTACGACTCCACCGCCCCTGACGCTTGATAACATCCGGCTCTGCATCCAGCATACCTCCGATAATCTCCCTAGCAAACAGATCACCCCGTGGCCATCGTGATGCATCTTCTACAATGTGTCCCAAACCACCATCCAGTGTGAACCACGCGTGGAAGTAAGGCATCTCCTTCGCGATGCTCCTTCGGAAGGCGAGCTTTCCCAGGCCTTCGCGTGCACGCTTGCCAGTGTCAATGATTTTCTTGTGTTGAGTCCACTCATCATCAGCGGACAGCATCGCTTCTCTGAAGAAGGCAGGGGCGGTGTCTCCCAGGTCATAGGGTATAGGGACCGCGATGAGGGCTGCATGGAGACGACGGTGTGGTGCTGCGGCATTCTCATAGAAGATGACCTCACGTCCCTGATCATGATATAGGCGCGTAAGTGACTTCATGAAATTGCGCATCTCCTCCCACTCGTCGTCATCGCACTCGAGCAGATTAGTTCTGTGAGTGACCGGAACTATGACCGCTCCACCCTCAGCACCTGTAAGCTCTGGCTCCGTGGGGATGGTAAGGAAGACCCTCGGTGAAAGAGAGATGATTGGTGCAATTGGAAGATTTTGAGGAGGATTCCGATCTTCGTGGTGGCACAACGGACAGGTATCCAGGATCTTGTTCATCTTCTGGAATTCAGCGACCGTTGCGTTCTTTAAACTGGTTTCAGACTTATGCACTCGCTTCGCAAGCTTTTCAGCATTTTCGTCCAAGTACTCCAGGTCATCGTCGAATTTTGCGTCTTTGGCAATACGCTCGGCCAAGCGCATGCCCTCACCTCCAGCCTGACCGCGGGTTCTGCGCTCCTCACGCAGCATATCCTCGACACTCATGTCCTCGTTCTGCTCCACGAGCCCGCGCTCGCGGCCTCGCTTTGTGACAATCTCCTTTACTTCCCCTCGAGGGCCAGCCAGCATCCGATTATGCATGGCGTCCAAAACAACAGCTCGATCGGTACTCACGCCGGAGTTGAAGTTTGCCAGGGCCTTGTTGTACTCAGCTTCCAGCTTTTCCACGTCCGGAGCTTTGCGAAACTTCGCCTTCATGAGCTGTGCGCGCATCCGATTCAGTGCTGTTTGGTCGAGGGTTGGGGCAGTGTCCTCCAACAAAACACCTTGCTCAGGCTCATCAACCGTAACAGCGGCGGCTTCCTCTCTCGGTGGTGGTCTTCTCTTCTCCATACGCTCGCGGTATAAGTCTCCTGAGGGCTTTTCTTTGCCCACATAGCCTTCTCCATAAGTTGCCCGCCTATCAACCTCAATTTTCTCTTCCCTCGCATCATCAAACTCACGAAGACTGCCGAATCTCTCCTCGGCGACTTCGTCCACAGGTCGTCCCGTCTGCTCCGCGGTATTATAAACAGCATTCAACTTGGTCATCCTCCACTTTGAGCCTTCATCTCCGAACCTGTAGTCCACGTCAGGCTGTGAAACCTCCAGGTCGTCCAATGTTTTGCCCTGATTTAGATCGCGTAGGCTCGAGTTAAGCTCCCTACTGTGAATGATGCGCTCAGGCTCTTGTTTGGGCGGAGGTGGCTTTGCCTTCTTGGCTCCTCTGTGTATGTAATCAATGTCGAGAGCAGAAGGGGCGGTCATCCATGAATCTCTGGCAAGAGGCTTTGCTTCGTTTGAGGGTTGTTCCTCATCAGGCAGTGGGAGATCTTCCTTGGGGTCGTGAGATTTTATGAATGCAGGCTCTTCAGAACCGCCCTCTTGTGAGCTTTTCCTATCACGGCTGCGGTCTCGGTGTCTGTGTTCATGCCTGCGACTCGACCTCTCTTCGTCGTCTCTTCTTGATCGCTTGTGTCTGTGGCCATCCTCGTCTGCCTCGTCGTCCCGGGAATGGCGGTGCCTGTGCCTCTCTCTGTCCCGATCTCTATCGCGGGGTCTATCCCCATGGGGATCTTTTTCGCCCCGTTCGGTCGATCTGTCACGCCGGTGGTGGTGATGTCGGTGCTTCCTTTCTTTTCTGTCCTCCCGACCGTGTTCCTCGCGCTCTCGCTCTGCCTTCTCAGCAGCAAGCTGCTTTTCGAAGTCGTCGAGGCCGTCCATGCTGAACAATCAGCTCATACAGATCCTCGATTCTTCGCAAGGCTGTAGAAGAGGCAAAGGTGGAGAAGTGAGCTGTTGTATGGCTAGAACAGCAACCTTCTGATGCTGCGAGGTGACGTGATGTTAGAGCGTCAGAGCAGATAGCTCATGCGAGCAGGGCGAAAAAATGCGACTAAGCCTTGCCTGCCAGCACCCCTGCAGCGGGACTGGGAGAGCTTGGCTTTTCGCGGGGCAACACCATCTTTCCAGCCCCGCCATCCACTGAAACTTTTCTTCGATCTTACAAACGAGTATCCGGAGCGACCGCAATTACCGTCTCATCAGCATGGCGGACGCAACGACTTCTACCTCGGGCGAGGCTTCTCAGCCTGTTGCCGTTGTCTGTGTAGGGATGGCAGGTCAGTTTCGAGTGCCTCTCAAGTGAGCAGTGAGGATATTGACAGCCTCTAGGCTCCGGCAAGACGACTTTCATGCAGCGAATCAATGCCCATCTCCATGCGCAGAAAGAGCCGCCATACGTGATCAACCTCGACCCGGCTGTCCTCAATGTGCCCTTCGACAGCAATATTGATATCCGCGACTCGGTCAACTATAAAGAGGTCATGAAGCAGTACAACCTTGGTCCAAACGGCGGCATCTTGACATCTCTAAATCTTTTCGCGACCAAGATCGACCAGGTATTGAACCTGCTCGAGAAGCGCACCGCACCCGAACCTGAGAATCCAAACAAAAAGCCAGTCAAGAACATTCTCATCGACACGCCCGGTCAAATTGAAGTGTTTGTCTGGTCGGCGTCCGGCACTATCCTCCTCGAGTCTCTCGCATCCTCCTTCCCGACAGTGATTGCATACATCATCGACACCCCACGAACAGCCTCTACCTCGACGTTCATGAGCAACATGCTCTACGCTTGCAGTATCCTATACAAGACCAAGCTGCCCATGATCTTGGTCTTCAACAAGACAGACATCAAGGACGCATCGTTCGCCAAGGAGTGGATGACAGACTACGATGCATTCCAGAATGCGCTCCAGGAAGACGAGATGAACAACGCCTTTGGCGGTGCCGAGGGTGGCGACGGCATGGGCAGCGGCAGCGGCTACATGGGCAGCTTGCTGAACAGCATGAGCCTGATGCTGGAGGAGTTCTACGCGCACCTCAGCGTGGTCGGCGTCAGCAGCATGACAGGGCAGGGCGTCGACGAATTCTTCCAGGCGGTACAGGAGAAGGCAGAGGAGTTCCGGCGGGACTACCAGCCAGAGCTGGAGAAGAAGCGGAAGGAGCGCGACGAGGCGAAGAAGAAGACCCGCGAGAAGGAGCTCCAGAAGATGATGAAGGGCATGTCCGTTGGTGGGAGCGCAGAAAAGGAGAAGGCCCCTGGTGAAGACGACGACGATGATATGGATGTCGTCAGCGACGGCGATAGCGACGACGAAGCCGACGATGACGAGAACGATCAGGAGGGTCTGCAGTCACGCTACGAGGCTGCGCTCAGGGGCGATGATGAATCGCTGGGGGCAGATGCAAGCTTTGCAAAATACCTACACTCGCAGAGGTGATGGTGTTACATGGCTATGCTGGCGTTTTGAATCGGAGATGGCTTTGGACAAAGGTAGATTGTGGCATAGGTTAGCATTTTGAGGAGTTCCGGCCAGTGATACCATTTAAGATATAGATTCTATCAAAACCTCGTGCAAAAGAAGCCTGCCTAGTTGCGCCAAACACCATCAAATGCTCATTCTCCACGAGAGGCTGTCTATTCCAGGCTCCTCCGTTCGGTCTTCGACTTCCTTCTCCGACATCGCCACGAAGCTCTTCTCTTAGGCCGTCGAGTGGTAATGCCTCACTTGTTCCGTCCATCTAGAGATTCAGTCCTGACCGAACGACCTCCTATCGTGTGTTGTCTACCGTCGGGTGGTCTCGTCATCTTGCCTCAAATTGAACCATTCTATCAAAGCGTTAGATTCATCTCCCACTCAAGCTTTTTGACCATATGCTGAAGTGCCGCCGAATAGGCAGGGATCCAGGCACGCAAATCCGGCCAAAGTTCCACCGGAGTGGGCTCACCTCTTCGTTCGCTCCTTGTACAAGACACGGTTACCACAGTTCTTGCACCGAATGGGATCCGCCTTTTGCAGAGACTGGCGATCGCCGCAGTCACCGCAGAGGTACTGCATTATCGGGCCGGACTCATCGCGAAACTCACGGCCGCCGTATTTCTGGGCGCTGCCTGAGATTCCGGAGCCCTGGCCAGTTGGAACCTGGTAAGCCTCGCGAGACATTTTTATGGTTTCTTAAGTGATCTCTTGGGATTGACTGAGAGATTACGCTTGCAGGACGGCGAAGACCGAGTAGTTGTCGTATGGCTTGAAAGGAAGCATTCAAAGTGACAGAGGCGGGATGACCACTTGAAAGCGGCGAGAAAGAAAAGCGGCGGGCGGTGTGAAATAGTCCGGCAGAATTATGTAATCACATGCTTTGGAGGCACCCGCCCCAAGCAGTTGAAGCTGGGCCTGAGTGCGAGCCAACCGAGCTAACCAATTGCCAGAGTGCTTATCCTCAAGTACGGCAATTTATCGACGAGTCGCATCCCGCGTCACGGAATACAGGAGACAAGCTGCTGACGGGCCAAAAGTGCCGTATCTTCCGGCAGTAACATCGAGGATCGGCTGCATTGCGGCTGACAGCTTAGAGCTTAAGCTGACCGTAATCGAACCTCTGCCGGCGACAAGCGACCCTCACGGGCCCGGGAGAGATGGCGCCCAGCAGCTACAACTCATCTCTCCCGCCCACGCCGACCTCAGCATTCGACCCGGCCGCCGCACCCAGCGACGATGCATGTCCCTTCTGTCGCATCGCCCAGCGATATGAGCCCTTCAACCCTCTAAACCCCCCTGCGCAATCCTCTCCGAGCATCTCGCCAGCGCGGACCGAGCCCGATCCCGCGACCTACGTCATTCTATCTACGCCGCTGCTCGTCGCGTTCCTCGATATCCAGCCATTGAGCAGAGGCCACCTCCTCCTCTGCCCTCGCCGCCATGCGCCAAAACTGACCGAAGCGACCGCACGCGAGTCTTCCGAGCTCGGATACTATCTGCGCATCTTGTCGGCTGCCCTGAGCAGGGCCACTGGGGTGGTCGATTGGAACGTCGTGCAGAACAATGGTGCTGCTGCTGCACAGGTAGTGCCGCACATGCACTTCCACATTATACCCAGACCAGAGATTCGCGCGCAAGGAAGATGGAGCGAGAAATTCACCATGTTCGGGAGAGGCCAAAGGGAAGACTTGGATGATGGAGATGCCGAGGAATTGGCAGAGCATGTCCGGGGAGCTGTTGCTCAGGTCCTGGAGGAGGATCAACGGCGGGATACCAAGGCTAAGCTATGATGAGATAGAAGGAGTGATAGACATAAGATACCCCGTCAGGAAAGTTGTCATACTGGCGCAATTGATCAAGGTGAGCATTACTTCCAGCTTCGTATAGTTCTACATGTGATCTAACGTATATATAGCTACCAGAGCTGTTTCCATTTTACTCGTCATCGCCGAAGAACACCTTGACTGGCAGCCAAGCATCACCGCAGACCTTGAACCGGTCCTTGATGCTGCTCAGCTGGGTCATCTCCTCGTCCGTCAGGCTCCAGCCGTCGAGCTCAAAGTTCGCATCGATGCGCTCCTTGGTAACAGACTTGGGCAGCACGCTGACGCCTCGCTGCAGTCCCCAGACGAGCAGGACTTGTTGCGGCGTCTTGCCCTTAGCCTTGGCAATTGACAGAATTGTGTCGTTGGTGTATAGGGGGGAATCGGTGCTGCCGAGCGGCGAGTACGCGGATGCGTGGATGCCCTTCTCGGCAAGATAGTCAAGGAGCTTGGGCGATGGGTTGGCGGGGTGCAGCTCGATCTGGTTGACAGCAGGGACGACCTTGGTGCTCTCGGCGCTGAGCAGCTTCTCCATGTTCTTGATGCCAAAGTTGCTGACGCCGATGTTGCGCACCTTGCCCGTGTCCAGCAGCTTCTGCATCTCGCGCCATGTGTCGACAAAGTCCCAGTCCGGGTAGTGCTTCTTCAGATCAGCGGGGTCGCTGCTCGACGGCCAGTGCATGAGGTAGAGGTCGAGGTAGTCGGTCTGGAGGTTCTTCAAGCTCGCCTCGAAACCCTCGGTGACTCGCTTGTGCCAGGGGTTGTCCAGCTTGGTGGTCAGCCAGATCTCCTCCCGGGGCACGCCAGATGCCTTGATGCCGTCGCCGACCTCCTTCTCGTTGCCGTACGCGAAAGCAGTGTCAATGTGGCGATAACCACGGGCGAGGGCAGCCTCGACGGCATGCTGCACCTCCTTCGGCTTGCTCTGCCATGTTCCCAATCCAACGGCGGGGATCTGGGCACCCGTGTTGAGGGTGAACTTCTTGCTATCGAAGTGTTAGCTGTCTTTGCAATGCTTGAGAGTCTTAAGTGCTGCGGGGCTGCTGTTGCGGCGTGGACTTACGCTGTGTTCTGAACGGAAGCCATGATTCTCTGCATTCAATTTGATGTTATGACAAGATTAGACACTTCAGACTAGTGACAGAGATATGATAGACAGTAATAGACAGAAAACGTCTAGGGAACAGCGAGAGTCAAGATATTTATTAATCCAGAACCCCGCAGGTTATGCCGTCTCTGTCCTTCCCAAGTTCCCACCTCCCCCCAGCCAGCCAACCCGCCCGAAATGTCAGCTACGCAGCCTTGGGAGGGGCACATTGGTCCGGCGGGACGTACAGACTGTTAGACTTGCCTCTTTCTGCGCCAAAGGCGCGATGACGTGGGGCCAGCCGTGCGGTCCAGAGATGCAAATGCGCTCCAATTACAGCGGCTGTGGCGTGGGGCTACAGCTGTCCATGGCGTCAACACCAGGTGAAGATTCTTCTCGCTGCTTGCTTGCTTGCTGCAACCTAATCTCCGAGCACGCAGCTGTTGCTCGAGTCCCAGGAGGGCGGGTTAAGTTAGCTCTGAGATAGCGGCCGCGACTCGCCCCATTAGTCATGCCCACCCACCGGGGGACTCGGTCCGTTTACAATGTTGATCTCACCGTTGAGTGGAGTTGCCGCCCGGCTCTAGATGTGGAAACCCTTGAGTAGTTTTTATGGACAATCCGAGTTCATTGATTAGAATCAGACTCTACTCATTAAAGACGATGCAAATTATGTTTCAGAACTCGTTCCTTCCAACTCTTTAGTAGTTAATCACAAAGTGCCAGTGAAACATGCTGAGAAGAGTCTTCGACAGCATCTCATTTGTAAGACTCACCGCTTGCAGCTTCAAGCTCAAAGCTCCATCCCTTGTGTCTCATACATATATGATGACCATAGTAATAAGTTGAGGTTGTCTGTGCCATATTGTAAAGTGATCAATAGATTGGCAATAGGCCTTTGCAATTCATCACTCTAGCAAATGTATAGAAGTGGGGTTGTGGTGGCTTAAAGTCCCTCACCTGCAGCCTCGCTCAGGTAAAGGTCCCAATATCTCTCCTCAACAACTTTCTATCATCATATTTATGAAGTACTGCTATCTAGTCGCGGCTACTATTAGTACCTATGAGCATCACTACCAGGCTAGGGAAATCACAGCTATGAGATTGCTCAACACCACGACACACAAGGTCAAAGAGTTTGTTGGCTCAAACCATCCACCCTATGTGATTCTCAGCCATACATGGGAAGACGAGGAGGTGAGTTTGAAAGATATCGAAAATGAAACTGCGAAATCAAAAAAAGGTTCCGCCAAGATAGCTGGATGCTGTCGTAAAGCAGCCGAGGATGGCTTTGAATGGGTGTGGATCGATACATGCTGTATCGACAAAACAAGCAGTGCCGAACTATCTGAAGCCATAAATTCCATGTATCACTGGTATCAGAGCTCAACAATATGTTACGCATATCTACAAGATGTGTCAACGAGGCTCAATGAGTCAGATGGTGCAAAAATGAGGTATCGCAGAATTCATGCTACCTATGACAAGTTCAGAAGCGACAATAGCAGCAGCCCCGAGCAGACCGTGTATGTTCTCGACCGAGGCTTCGTCGGCTGGCAGGAGGTCTATGGCGAGGACGAGCGTCTCACCGAGGAATATCGGAAGGAGCTGTGGCAGGATGGCCACTGGGGCTGAAGCTCTGATCCGGCTTGTCAAGTTTTGATTGTTCCGGGGCGTCCTGATGAGCCACAAGCATCCTCGCAACACACGCCTCGATTCCGACGCCATCCCACATCCTGCGAAACCCGAGATCTAGCCCCATTCAAACTTCATCTAGCCAGCACATAAGTTCAGTAATAAACTCATCCCATAGCTATATTACACATATATACATACATACAACCAGCTACGTCGGGGAAAAAGCTACGGGTCTGCAGCAGACACTACGCTGCCAGAGGGGACCGCGATGTTTCACAGCAATGCTGATAAATTCTGACACCATCTCAGTTGCATTGACTACCATAGCATAGCTATTAACTAGGGAAAGGTTGGTATAATACATATAAATTGTTAAATTCATCTCGAGGTACAGGCGGACACCATAGGAGGCGATAGTTCCGTATTGTCACGGCCGAGCAACTATCTGCACACTTAATACCGGTACAACAGTGATTACGCAACCAGCTGCGAGCTCGATTTTAGGTGATCCTCCTTCACTACCACAAGTTCGCCAAAATCAGACCTCCAACCTTCATGATTCTTTAGGCCCAAATCGCGAAGTCTGTATGGTTGCAACAATCGTTCTCTACGTGTACCGTGCCCTCAAATGGTTGACGAAGAGCTCCGGATTCAATGAGGAGAACTCCAGAACAGCATGGACGGAACATGAGAAAAACATCTCGGCTTGGGAAGGCGAGGAAACATAGCTAAGCCTGTACCACTTCGACCCATCTAACTCCCTGCGATTTCGCTATGATAAGCGGTCCAAGGATGAGCTCAGGGAGTATTACGGGGAGAAAACCCACGATGGGGTCCCTAAATCGGTATCTCGGCTATTCGAAGGAGGACTTGCAACGTTGCAACGTTGCACGACTCTCCTTACATATCTCCGCATATGATGGAACACGCCTTCTTCATACTGCGCGCGAGAATCTAACCCGGATTTCACAAAACAATATTGGGCGACGCGTGGTACTAGCTAGTTACGCCAGAAAACAGACAATCGGGGAAACGAGGAGCAGGCGAAGAGGCACGGTAAATTTCTGACGGCGTGCCGCGATATGATGAACATGTCTGGAGGCGCAGGTCATATCACTGACTCCTTGCTGGCAGCCAATCCTCACCATTGGGACAACCCTCACATCGTGGGCTCGTGGTTGATGTGCCAGCTTGACTCGATGGGTATAGCGCCTATATATGTACCTAGAATGGTATGATGATGGTGATGGCGTTTCCGGGACACAGATACGCATGCGCACACACACTCTTACACATGCATACATGCTCTCAACAGTTTCATGTTGTCTTGAAGTACGTGCAACAAGCTAGAAAACTAATTGCTTCACCTCCAGAAAATAGGTACTAGACTACTATATGTATCCTCAGCATCACAGTGAACAACATCAGGCTGTACATCCTTGAGTATTGTTTCGGCTTCATCTCGTAAATTTACCGCTTCTGAATGGCTGTCTTCAAAACTATCCTGGGTAAGGGCTTCAGAGAGCTTAAAGAGAGCTCGCGCATACTCAATTGGCCTGTCAATCTTGTGCACCTTCGTAATTTCAATTGAGTCTCGAAAGTATTTGCTGGACTTTCAGTCAAAATTTGACAACTTTGATGGACACATGGTGAGGGAATGATCGTAATAGTGAGCTTGGATACTCACATCGCTGAATCAACTTTGCCTTAGTCCAAACAACACACTCCAGTTCTATACAGGCACCCCGCAAAGAAAGGATGAGCACGTGTCCGATCCCCTCTGAGCCAAGCGTTCTGGGCTTCGATGTAGTGTGCCTCAGCAGCATCGAATTCCCGTTGTCGCCAGTTCATCGTTGCCAGACCGAACAGGGCACTAAATGAGGGACATACTGTTAGTGATTATGCGGTTCTTAATCTAGGGGGCAAAGGAGTCTCACTATGCCAACATCGCCCAGTTCAACGGTTTCTCGCTTTTTAGTCGCGGTATGGATGCATCAAACATTTCTTTTGCCTCCGTATACTTGCCAAGATAAACCAAACACCGAGCGTGGTTCTGTAAATGTCGAGCTGGGCGATCACCATGTGTCTCACCATTCTTGACCATTTGCTGCCACCATTCACCTGACTCTGCTTCACCACACCGTGAACAATCAGTAGCATAGGGAGAATCACCGGCGAGTAGATGGGTTCAACAAATCTATCTCGTGGCCGCCAGGCTACGTATCAACTCTCCATCAAAGACCTCTTTGAGGGTCTCGATCCACGCGAGAAGTTGTATGCCCATTGTCTCTCTCAGGCTGCCTGGCATGGCAGCAGAATTATTCTCCGCCAGACATCACCTGAAGGTACCGGGATATTTGACTTCATCATCGAGCTACACCGGGCATGCCAAGGGCAATGGTCCCAATTCACGCAGCATTTCGGCGTTTTACCCGAGGAATTGGATAGTTTCCTGGATTTCGCCGGCATGTTCATGTCCAAATTGAATAACTTCTGCGTATGTTACTGTACAAGCGGTGGAAAGCTTGTGCAGACGGACTAATGTTGCTTCAGGGCGAGGGTGACCGAAAGATCGTGCCGAAGATATCGGATGAGGCCTTGCGCAAATGGCCGGCATTTCAACGGCCGCCACAAAAGCATTGGAGAAAGTGATCAAGCCTCTGTTATCTACCACGCCCAACACGTTGGGACTTACAAGCTCAGCGTACTACCCCGGCGACGTTGACATCACCATGGACGAGATCGCCGCCATTGCTCGTGTCATGGAGCACCATGATCTTGAACCAGAGAACACCCGTATACACAAGACAACTGATGGAAACAAATCCGTGTTTAACATTCTTCAAGCTTCCGCGCAGACAAACGGCGAATTACAGCAACACTTAAAGGGTTCCGCCGTTCCCATAACATTGCTCCGCCAACAAGCCTCTGGGATTCAACCTTTTGATGCAATCATCAATCTGGAGCGAGGTGATCACTCACAGGAAATGTTTAAGATTTGCACACATCTTCGCCAGGCCATCCGCTTCTCGGCTAACGACACCGAAGCTCGATTTATCTTGGACTACCTCGAGAGCTTTACTACCGGGAGCCTAGAGTCGTATCGCAGGGCTATGAAGGGTTGGGTCAAAGACTTTTATTTCAAGAGTCGAGAGCATCTTTGGCTTCGTTGAGCCGTATAGAGACCCTTACGGCGTGAGGTGTGAGTGGAGAGGTGTTGTCAGCATTGCTGATCCACGCCAGACCGCTCAGTTGACGGCTCTAGTTGACAATTCGACAAAGTTCATTCGGTTGCTTCCTTGGGCTGTTGATGGGGTCAATGATGGCAAAGGGCCTTTCGAGAAAGACAAGTTTCAAGCCCCCGATTTCTATGTCGTACATGGTCAGTTGATTGAACAATGGAGTTGCTTTTGTACTATGCTAAATCTGAATAATAGCGCTCGCCTTTGTCTGCAGTACCGTATGGGAGGCCTCCAATGTGCCTAACGTGAATACCAAGTAATCCTATTGCTCATCTATTTAGCTGACATTCCTTTGTGTACAGTACAACGACATCCGTGAGACATACGGTTTCAAGAATATTGTCTATGCGAACCGAATGAGTGCGAATGCAGACCCCGATCGTCCAATTCACTGGGTCCATCCTTCTGAAGCAGACGGTTACAGAAAGATCAACCATGTTCTCCGTTTCATCACAACATCGATCCATGAGCTTTATGGCCACGGCACGGGCAAGCTCTTAGCGGAGACCTCACCAGGTGTATACAATTTCGATCCAGAACATCCGCCCATCAATTCGCTTACCGGCGAACCTGTAAAGACCTGGTATCGGCCCAACCAGACATGGACCAGTGTATTTGGGAAACTCGCAGGCACTGTTGAAGAGTGTAGAGCCATGCTTATTTCCTACTACCTCGGAGATCGCAAAGACATGCTGCTTATGTATGGCTACGATGAAGACAGTGACATTAAGACCGATGACCGTAAGTGCTTCCTGTGACTCCTGGTACTCTTATTTAGCTGATATATCCTAGTGATCTATTACATGTATCTTTACATCGCAATTGAAGGTCTCCGTTCCCTCCAGGGATTCAATGTAGAGTCAAAGAAATGGGGAGATGCCCACGCCAATGTAATGCATATTGGGCACTCTGCAATGCGCTTCCAGCTAACTCTAGAGATAGGCGAAATACGCTATCTTGAAGTATTTGTTTCTTGACGCCGGGGGACTTTTGACAGTGGAACATGATGAAGGTGCAGGAACACTCTATGCACGCCTTGACCGTTCCAAGATAGTGTCACATGGCAAACCGTCTATTCACCGCATGCTTCATCGCATTCATATTTGGCGCTGCACTGCTGATGTTGCTTCATGCAAAGCTTTTTACGAGTCGCTCAGCATCGTTGATGGTGAATTCGAGGTTTGGAGAAAGATCATAGCGTCTAAGCCAGAACCCCCTTGGAAATTTGTGCAAGCGAATACCATCCTCGGGGATGATGGCCATGCTATGATTGCTATCGCCAGCCCTCTATACGAAAGTGTCTTGGTGGATATCATTATGTCCCATCGGATTGAGTTTGGAATACTATGCCTTCTATGGCTGGAAGAGCTTGGATTGCTCAGCTTTGGAAGGCATCGTGGATATTTTGCTTGTCAGTGTCGAGATTTACCAGGTAGCTGTGAGTCTCTTTGTAAAAAAAAAAGAATAATGGGAGAAAGAGGAGATTGTGAGCTAGCTGCCCAGCCTTCTCTAGTTCTCTGGAACAGTGATCTCTTATCTATATGCCTAACTATCTTGAGTCTGCCTCTCCCCGCTATTACTATGATGGAGTGTATACCATTATGTTCATGAATATGACCACCTAATAGCTAGTTGCATTATGTGGTGTAGTTAATCCAATTGTACCGGCAGCACTCAAGCAGCCCAGGCATGCCGATCAGCATCTTGAAGCAAGCCTCACCACACCCTTGGTCTATTGTATGCCCTCCACAGCAACCATTTTGTAATATGTCTCTTTGGCAGTTGTAGAAGGAAAGATGTTGAGACTTGTCTTGTTGAGAATGTACTACAAAACACAGGAGTGACTTCGGGAAAGCGGCAACAGCGGCAACGAGCTTAATTCATAGTCATTTCCATTGTATGTTGCTAGAATTGACACAATCCATGGTCAATGATTTGTTAGCTTCTAAACCAATAACAATGAAGTACAGGATCGTACGTCGCACAGCACCGGGCAGACGCCAGTATATAAGTTTGTTGCTTCTCACTGGCCATGAGAATATTAGAAGGCTCCTGTGGCTCGATGCGGGCAGATTATAGTATGCTCTCAGTTTCTTCCGAACACATTTTACGCGCGATAAACGAATAACCGCCATGGACACCGAGGTCAGATACATTGCAAGAAACTCACTCTTTGAAAATGAGAAAGCTTTCACAACAGATTTCCCTGTTGATCATGTCGAGGGAGCCCGAACAACAAATCGAGAGGAGGATGTCCGACCTGTAACAATACATTGTATCGATAATCCTAGCGAGTGGAACCTTGATGAGCATGGTTTCTGTTTCATAAAGGCAAAACCCGATCTGGATGTCCAGGGTGCCTTTAAGCGCAAGGATGAGGTGCGAAAGCCATACTGGCAGGAGATAGAAACGATTATCCATAATCATTTTCCTCGATACTCCCGCATCGAAGCATTTGATTTCACTGTCAGTTACCGGACTAATTCTATTAAGAGTCATGGTGTCTTAATACTCCCTATTCAATGCAGGTCCGAAAAAGAGATGCGGACTTCCCTCAAAGATCGAAGGGGTATCAAAAGGAGTACGTCTCTCCAGCAATCACAGCGCACTGCGACTATTCGAAAGCCGGGAGCCGCCTCGTGCTTGAATACTCATTTCCGGGCCAAGAGGAGGCCTGGGAAAATAAGCCATTTGATCTCATCAAGTCTGCGATTATCGATTTCCTGAAACTGCATCTGATCTTCAGAATATAGCTAACCCCACTTATTTATCAGTGTATGGCGCCCATTGAACGAGACAGACGACTGGCCACTCGCTGTTTGTGATTTCAAGACTATAGACACCGAGAATGATATCCTTTTGACGGACTCGATCCGCCGTGATATGATCAGTGAGGTCTCTCTCTTGCATTACAACCCGGCACACAAGTGGTATTACCTGAAGAACCACGGCACCGAAGATCTCCTGGTCTTTCGGAACACTGATTCTCAAGGAGAGCTACCGCGTATGTACCTCATAGTTCCTGGCATTCTTATGGCTTTACTTGGGTTGAAACAGGTCCTGATATGGTACTAAAATTTTGTTTTATAGGCGCATTTCATGCTGCAGTTCCCAACCCATACAGCACGGGGCCATCTCGTGAAAGCGTTGAAGTTCGAATTGTAGCTTTTTACTGACCTGAAATACTTTGCTTCCACTTTGTCAAGGGACGCGACGTCCGGCGCAATAATTGGTGAAGTATGGAGGGGGCTGTGCAGGTGACTTACTCGGAAAGAAGCAAGACTAGCTGAGAAAGGGTGCAAGCACAGGTTTATTGGGACCTGCAACCGAGTGATGTTGACATTACGCCTCTCATGGAATGGAAGTTCGGCCAAGTAATGACAGTAGCATTGCTCTCTGTTTATACGCTTAATGCGATCGAAGCGAGTAGGTGGAAAAAAACGAAAGGTATATCCTGCAATAAAACAGATCGCAAGCTCACTCCGAGTGCAGTGTCGAGTGGGAAGAGTTTGCCAGAGTATATGGATAGGTCAGTCAAAGGGGAGACCCACGAGAAAGCTATTGATGAACTAAGCGATCAACAACGATTATCTCAACCACCCCATGAGGATCAGGACGTTGGTGAGCACAACGCACACGGCAATTCAGCTGAAGAGCAATCTTTCACTGTCCGACGGAGAAGAACGGCACCTCCCTTTGGAAATGTGATTCCCTGCGCTGATAGGGAGTCACTACTTCCATATAAGTCCCCCGTTTCTATACAACAGAGAGTGAACACAATAAAAATGGAGGAGCGCCTCGAGGTAACACTAAAATCCGCTCCTAGATAAGATTCGTTTCTCAGATAATCTAGTCTCCCGTTGAAGAACCCGAGATCATCAATCTTCTTGAAACCATACAAGGGCAAAAGGAAAATCTTGCCAGTCACTACATCCTGTTGGTGTGGAATCTATGGGTGGCAATCACGGTCTTGATATGCTTCCATTTCACTATCTGTGTTACGATTTTAGCTATTCTCTACGCGGGCTCTGTGGCTTTCAAAAATTGGCGGGCGCTCAATGGTGTCCAAATAATTCGAGAAGACAGGCAACGGATCTAGGAGAGAAAAGACCATGAACCTTGAGGTCATCCCTGGGGAGAAGTATTGCATACAGTCCCGTACTTAGCCCTTGTCTCGACATGCGAAAAAAGGCCAAGGTGAAGAGCAGTTCCAAAATGAATTCGATATTAACTTGTCCTACTAGTAACTCATCTAAGAGAAACATTAATCAAATCTCCTAGTCACCTTTGTAGTATTAAAGAGCTAAAACAGGGGTCACCTGGGATCACCTCGGTCACCCTGTAAAAACATCCTAGAGTGAACTCAGAGTAGCGAGGCTCACCTAGCTCACCTCATTAGCTCGATAGCAGTGAGCCGAGGTATCCCCATCTACAAGCCTATCGTATTGGCAACTGTGGCCCCATGATTAAGTAATAATACACGTGCCATATCGCAATAGTCTAGCATAACGGCATGCGAAAGTACAGGATAACCGTAATCATCAACAGTATCGACAAGGAAACCATGGCTGAGAAGTAACTCATTTACGATGCCCTGATTCCCCGAATCCCATGGGACAACGTGCTCATAAAGGCATGATGGATAGTTTCATCAACGTTGCTCTCGTCGAGTTCTGGCAATGGAGACTAAAGCGACGATAGGGCGTTGAAAAGGCTTGACTTCGCGATTTTGAACGGGCCTTGAAGATAGTTCAAGTGCGTATTCAACGGGAGGTAGACAATGCCATGGCTAGAATACCAAGTTTGGGTCAGTTCTCCGCGGTCGGGTAACAGCAATAGCTTGCCAATCAATGATGGCATTCCCGGCTATTGAACGACCTGATAGCCCTCAGGCGAATCATTGGGGGTTCAGCTGAGGCCACTATTGAATGTGGCTTTGGAACGGTCTAGACTGATTCAGCTGGCTGTTGTCTAAATACCTGAGTAAAGCAACTATATCAAGTGACACCCCACCAATTCTGCAAAAAGCGGAATGTCTAGCCATGTGCTGATCTAACTGAAAACAACTGAGCAAAGTCTTTTTAGGGATCACTCATCGTTTCACGTAGTTATGTCTCGGTCCATTTACCAAGTACTAGACTCACTCAATTCGGAAATCCGGGTCCTCCACATAAGGCCGGCTGCCAAACCCGAGTCTCCGATCATCTGTGATTTCCAACACATTTTCCTTACAAAAAGTCATTCGTACGAAGCATTATCGTACACATGGGGCCTACCAGGCACTACAGTCGAGATAACGGTCAACGGAGTAACACGCCGTGTTCAAGAAAACGCTGGCGCTGCCATTCGAAGATTGAGAGACCCCAAAAAGACGCGAGTTGTCTGGATCGATGCTATCTGTATTAACCAAGAAAATGATGAGGAGAAGGGTCTCCAAGTCTTGCTCATGAGAGAAATCTATGGCAAAGCCGACCAGGTGTGCGTGTGGCTCGGAGAATCCTCAGAGGGTAGCGACGTCGGAATCAGCTTCTTACGCAACAACAACTTTGCGCTTGGCTGGAAGCAATGGAGGAAGGACCGGAAACACGGTAACCCGACCCTACCTTGGCTGCAAACCCTTGGTAGCTCCGTCGCTACGCAAAATAGAACCAATCTTCTCTATGAACAGGCTACTGGAGAGGTTCGGGAGCTCCTCGATCGACCGTGGTGGAAAAGAGTGTGGATCGTACAAGAAGCTATTCTAGCTCGGAAGCTCATCTTGATGTGCGGTTCAGATAAGCTGGAATGGAACTCCATTGAGAAGACCATAGCTCGTCTGAGATTGCAAGGGGGGGTGGTATTTGGATTCAGTGAGTCTCCTACCCACGCCTTTCCGGATGAGATATACCGCACCATCAATACCTATCGGGATAGAATGAGCAGTACTCCAGATGGTCTCAGCTTGTACGATATCTTGTACCGCTGCCGGTCATTGCATTGCACGGATCCACGAGACCGAATATATGGGTTTCTAGGCTTAATTCCGGCGACGATAAGCAAGGTCATATGTCCAGATTACGGCAGTCCAACTGCTGAAGTGTATCGGAAGTTTGCCAGGCTAATGATTGAAGTTTCTGGGTCATTGGATGTACTGAACTGCAAAAGGGAGTGGCAAATTGAAAAGTCACCGCCAGCAAAGCGACTAGCATATAGTTTACTCGACTAGGCAAGATATCACGACACAAACGCACTGATCATCGACGGCCCAGACCAGAAGCCTCGTCGAGGTTGGGCAAGACTACCACCAGGCTGGGAACGCAAAATCAATTCCAAGGGATACTCAGTCTACTTCGTCAATCACCTAACCGGAGAGCAATCGCAAAAGAGTCCTTTGGAAGATGAAGAACCTACCATGGCCCAAAACATGATCGATCAGAAGAAATTGCCCAGTGGCTGGTATAAGGCTTGGGACAACTTTGGGTGTGCCACAGTTTCGTTTAGCCATCCCTCAGCGTTAAAGCCTGATGAAAAACTTGCTGGGCTCGAGTACAACCCATCATGGGCGCCAAATTGGGCTCATGCAACAGATAAAGATCCAGCCCCCTTTCTACAATGGTCGCCCAACAACTCGTCATATTGGGCAGCAGGAAAAGGCTCATTTACCACGGGCGTGGGCATTGATGATCGCGTGTTGCAACTAGATGGACTGGCTTTTGACACGATTGAGTTGATTGCTGCACCATGGCATCCTAACGGACCGTTGCCACCAGTCTCACGGAAAGGCGTAGAAGTCCTCGAAACCTGGGAGGCACTCGCTATCGCGAATGTGATAGACTGTCCGTACAATGGCGACCGAAAGAATGCACTCTGGCGCACCATGATTGCTGATCATGTCGGAGACCAAGCAGCACCGAATGATGACTGGGCTTATGTCGAGACATGGTACGATAGAGTTGGTTGGGCTGAGGACCCAGCCTCAACCTCTTCTATGAGCATCTGGGAAACTGCTTCCAGGACTGGAGATTACAGTGGTCAGTCTGTTAAAATGATAGAGCACTTCTACGAGCATCGTCCTTTGGAAGCATCTGGGGGTGTCATTGCTACAATCAAGCTTGCATATGCCGCTCAAAAGACCATCACTAAGACGTATGAGGAGTATTTACACCGAATTCATCACGCCTGTATGCACCGTGCACTGTTCGTCACTTCACGGGGCTATATTGGCCTCGCACCCTGGAATGCGCAGGTAGGGGATATCATAGCAATTCTTGATGGGGGCAAAACACCTTTCCTACTCCGTGCCGCATCTTCTTCGATGCATATTTTAGTGGGCGAGTCTTACGTCCATGGGATCATGGGTAGTGAAGCATTGGAATGGGAACATGCGGAGGTTGCTCGGAGACCTTTCTTCATTCTATAAACTCTCGGAGTTATACAAACAAATGTTTTGCCACAGGTTGAAGGCACTCCGCGAGAATAATAAGTTCATGACTTCCGTCTTCCAATATCATGCTTATTACATCGACTGGAGACATATTATTCATTCACGCTGCTTGAGCTTTCTATATATTATGGGAGAATACTCTTGGCATTAGGATGAGTTCATCTGATCCCAATCTGGAACTTTCGAACCAGACAAGTAATGCCCAAACGTTACACCGGACCACTACTATCCCAGCTTACGCAAGTGACGCTGCTCTTGCTTCGGTTAATAGTGGACCGTATATGGTTTTAGTAGTAAGATAGCCACTTCCAACCATCTTCGCTATATGAGATCCCTCACAATTGGGTTGCTGTAGGCCATTTGGAGCGTACAGGAGAGCGCCTCATAATGCACCCCCAACAAGCTGGACAATCCACATAGCAATGCGCACCTTCAGGCCAACCCTCCTGTCAGTTCGAGCAAAGTCATCTCGTGTGACCTGTTGCGCATGATCTTGGAGCCAGAGCTGCTCCTCGCCTAGTCGCTTCTTGAGCTCTTCATTCCGCGTTACTATCAAGGCATTGGCCTCCAAATCCAGAGAATAACTTCGTTTGGTGTAGTTAGAACTCCCAACAAGGCTGATAGAGGGGCTTGACTCTCCGGGTAGGGTCACCCAAAGGCCCTTTGCATGGTAGGTCCATCCACCAGGCTCGCCCACTGTCCCTTTCCTCCATTCCTTGAGAATCGTTGACATGTCACGTTTGTTTTGGTGCACGGCGCGAAGAAAACGATGTGCAAGAAGGGTGTAGGCATCTGGTAGCAGCCCCGAGACACCTTTGGAACCATAAAATCCATTCGCTTGTGGAGAGGCTGTGATGACCACGTTATTGTGGGATGCGGTTGAGAGTAGAAGCTTGGTAAGTGATGGCGCAGGATTGAAATATCCGGCCGTGAATGTCCACGAAGAATTGGAGTACTGTGGAGCTGCCAGAGTCTTTAGAACGTGCGTTACCGCTGGCAGCTCGGTAGAGACATCCGGTTGCAGTAGCTGTGTCATTTGGGCAAGGACGTATACATCGGTGTCCCGGGACTCCTTTTTCGCGGCACTCCCAGCTGTCAGTGCCTTCTGACTCGGAGACACTAAAGGCTTGAGGACAGCGGTAGCACGCGATACAAATTGCTTCGGGCTGTCGAGCGGAGATGGTGCAGCGTTGGTAGCTGGCCATACCTGTTCAAAACCTGAAGGGCTATCTGATGGCTTTATTAGAAAGCTCAGGGATGTTACACCGCTGTAGAGATCCCAGAAATATTCTGTTATCTCTTGTGAAGAGAATAGATGATATCTATCTTGGCGGTTTGTGAAGTAGTCGGTGGAGAGATTGGCTCCAGAGAGAATAATCTCGTCATCAACACCATACAGCTTCATATGTTGTAAGCCCCATCCCTCATTGATTCTCTTTGGTATGTATTTCTTTCGCAAGCCAGTCAGGTTCGGCGTGTGGTACATGCGAATCTCGACACGCTCAGGTCCGAACTCAGCAACCAGCGGTGCCAAGAGAGATGCACATGATGGCTCGGGTGCCTCTCGCGTGCCACGCAGAGCATCCGTAAGAATGCTCAACTTCAGATCCGGGTTCTCTCGTAATGCTTCTTGCAGCGTTGTGATTAATTCCTTCTCGGACTTTCCGATGTACAGGGTCGACAGGAATATTCGTCTCTTCGCATGCCGAATTTTCTGCTTCAGGGTCTCGTAGAAATCAGAGGGAGTCTGCAGGATTCGAATCTGGGACCCATGAACGGGGAAAGACGGCGCAATCTTGTCCAGTTCACCTACGAACGGCGCAAGCATCCCCACCGGATTTGTAGAACTGGCCGGCACGCCAGCTGCTGGTATCGAGTATCGTCGACATTGTGGCTTGGTACACCGAAAGCAGGGACGGAAGGCAGGTCGCGACCTTGCCGAGCACCTTATCGCACCTCTCGCCAGCATAGCAGCGTCAGCAGAAGTCGCGACTACCGAAACGCGCGTGTTTGTATCGTCGACATCACTACGCACTGCATTTCTTGAAGGTCGAGCTTGGCAGCTTGGAGGGCACTGCTTGAGAATTGGAGCTCAATCATTGGCCGCGGAATTTCTCGGCAACCGGAAAAGGACCCACCTCAAGGTATCTACGGCAGTCCTGGACTTCACATCACCAAGACGCTTCTCGGTAGCAGTCGTCAAAGATCAATTGATCAACGCCCAAGATGTCGACAGTCACGAGAACACTAGGCTACATCCGCCGGATTGGCCTCAAGGTATGCGTCGTCTTATTGCCTTCGGAGCACCCGCTAACTGTTTATTGCAGGAGTACTGGCATCAGCTTAACGTATGTTCCCACACCCCTCGATCAACCTTCGACCGCGTGCCACAAGAATTTCGACATGGCTAACGTCAAGCTCTCGATGAATAGTATATTGGTAGGCCTCAGAGAATGGGTGATTGGGGAAGTGGACGAGACTGACCTGGTTTAGGTGACACGAAGGCTGGTACACTCATCGGCACCGACAAATTCGGTAACAAATTCTACGAGAATATGGAGGAGGAGCTGCCTCGTACGTACTTGAGGTGTTTGTTGTCAAAAGAAAGCAAAGACTTACTTAATTACAGTACGGACAAGATGGGTGGACTACAAGAAGCACGATTTCGACCCGTACGTCTATACATACAGTGTGCAACGTAACAAGCTCAGGCAACAGCTAACCATAGTGTAGCGCACAAATCGAGCCTTTATGGCACATGTGGATCTCATACGGAATCGACACGCCTCCGACACAGGATCCGCTCTCGAAGACTGCTCGATCATGGGCAAAGCCATATCACATTCCGAACTATACCCAGTCCCGAGGCGCATACAAGCCTTACAGCACGTGAGTAGCTTTTGATTTGGACGTTTGATGGAATTCTAATAAGTGTCCAGTACACAGCCGAAGGTCAAGACGTGGCAACCAGTGGCCGCTGCGAGGCAATGAGCGATGTGGGAGAGCGGGCGATGTGTACATATTTGTGCCTCCTAAGGTTATAGATGGCGGTTCAAGTGTTTCCTGTGGGGTTCTTTCGTGTTGAACTATGCCATAACAATGCTGTCTGTCCAGCCTACTTGAAGAGCTCAATCTGTGGCTTTCCCCATGTGTAACCGTGCAGCGATTGCATATTGCTAAATTGGACAGAAAACCGTCAAGCTGCAATTTAAGCACGATGTAGGTGGGGAGAATCCGCGACTGACATCTAGATTACATGAGAACGTTAGGTTTACAACTCGGGCTTCTTTTCCGCCGACACGACTCGCAACCTGAACATTGCCGCACCATGTCTATCAATCTTTGCGGTGATGGTACCATCTGGTTTCACAGTGGTGGTTACCTTCCCTAGGAGCATCTCGTTTCTGGCACCCAGGCCGTTGGCATAGGACGTTTTGGTTGCGTTGTACAGCTTGCTTGTACCGTTGAAGCTACTGCCATTGATTCTTGTCCCATTCTCGGCAGCGCTTTCCGCCGTATCAATGATTGCTTGAGCATCACCATCCGATAAACGGTTCGCCCACAGATCACGCACTTCCCATGACATCCTCACCTGCGGTGCGGTGCCGCCAGTCCCGCTGTCAACGAAAATGTCTGCGAGAGTGGCGTTCAACGTTGAGGTGTTATTGTTACCGTTGATTAGGACAACAACGCAATCATCGTAATCTCCCCCAGTCGTGGAGGCAAGTGTTCCAGACCACATCTGGATGCTTGCCTTGCCGAACTCATCAACATCAGTTGTCTCGTAGTGCCAGCGACGGGCGGCAGACATTCCTAATGGGTCCTGGTTTACGGCTATGACGGCAGAGTTTGACAGAATGGAGAACGTCCTGTTTGAGATCTTGGTGAAATCATTACCCATAAGGAGGGGACTGTCACGATGTTAGGTTCTCAAAGTAGCGATGGCACTGGAGATGATGTTCATTACCTCTTCGCTGCAGACCACAGAGAGAAATGGGTGATATACTCGGCGTCCGTCTGTCCACCAAGACCAACGGTCAAGATGTCGAGATCATTCCAAGCACCTTGATGAACTCTGGACACAACGAGAGCAGCCTACAATCAATCAGCATATTGACGTCTAGTTTTGGTGTGACTTGCCTTGTTGATTATGTTCAATGTTGAACAATGGACCCCCGGCACAGCACAGTTAAATGCATTTGGACCATCGCTATCATGTTATCAGTATTAACATAACCAGCACCCTCGCATCATGATCCTTACCAGGGGCATCTATCGTCCGGTCTATCGAAAGAGTCGTACACGGGACCGGAAATTCGCCAGGAGTTAGCGATGGTCGGCGCCCAATTCCAAGGCAAGTCTTCTCCCCAGTTGTCCATGCTGTACAAAATTGAGCGTCCTGTCGCATTCAAAGCTTCGCTCATCACGTTGAACCGATTGCGGCTGATGAGCTGGTCACCTGCCTGGCCCTCGTTATAGCAGTTGTCATACTTGAGGTAATCAATACCCCAAGCAGCAAATGTCTTCGCATCTACTTTCTCGTGTCCCAAGCTACCTTCGTACAGTCCACAAGTATAGCTTCCGGCGTCTGAATACATGCCAAACTTCAGTCCCAAATCGTGGATACTGTTCGCTACGGCAGCCATGCCTCTTGGGAATTTCTGGGTATCCACAATGATACTACCATTGCCAGATGTGTTTCGTCCGTTCGACCAGCAGTCATCCAGAAGGATGTATTGATAGCCAAGATCCTTGAAACCGAGGTCTACTATCAATTTGGCCTGGGATAGGAGGACCTCCTCCGACACATTGCATCCAAATGAATTCCAGTCGTCCCATCCCATCTGTGGTGTGATTGCCTGTCCATTGTTTGATGCTCGAGTTAATTTCGCGAATACGGTGGCAACAATGAGGAGGAGCATAGGGGGCAGTGGAATTATCATGAAACCTTCAAGATAGTGAGAGAAGACTGGACATCCCTGGACCATTGGGCTACACTCGAGATGCTCGCATATGACCGCGCACTTCCTCTTAATATGCCAGTCTGCCGCTGTTCACACGTGTGAGACTTCAAAACACAGACTCCTCCGGATTTGTAAAAATGTGGAGAGTGTCATCACCACCGACCATTTGACTGTAAAGTCAAATATGTTACTGACGAGTTGACACCTTTTTCAGAAGGTTTACTTGCTCATAGTGATACCAATGAGTGGTGGAATGCCAGAAATCTTCTCGAACTTACTCAGACTTCTTAGAATGACATCCATAGTGAAGAACATTAGATCTCTCGATTTATTCATCTGGAGACAGTCTTCTATTGAATAATTGCAGCATAAGGTAGTTGATATCTGCCTAGCCATAGACTTACTCATACCAGAAGTGATCATGAAGCTAACTGCGTGAGGGTTGTTTACAATGGAGTTCCGAATTTCCTGAACGATTTCTTGAAAACATTCACTGGAGCGTGTCTGGACTCATGCTTAACAAATGAAGGACTTGTGTGGAATGACTGCTCGGAAGGCTACCACAAACTGCGATTGTTTCTGAATCATTTTGCTAGAGAAATGTATTGATTCTGATAGAGATTGAACTGATCAAGCCAGCCATGGGTATTGAACATTGAAATCCACAAATCGAAAGGTCATTAATTGCGCCGCTTTCGGCGGAATGGCCTTTTTCCTAACTCATTCAGTCATGTGTCTCCGAGAAGACGGAAAACGGGAACCTGGTAGGCAAGGTTTCTCGAGCGAGTGGGCGGTCGCGCTTTTGGCAGGCGTGGAGATCAATCTACGTCATGACTCTTGGTGGAACCTCAGCCTCACAGCTCTGAGCTTCCACACCAAGGATTGTAATCCATTTATGGCACGCACCGGACACGAAAACACGTGGTGGCAAGATAGAAGATCTAAAGAATGATTTGAATTTCCGCGGTTTAATTCCAATTGATGTCCGCTGATTGGCCAAGAGCCTATCTTTCTCAATCCATCTAGTGCTGGAGATTCAAGACTTGACCTCAATTTGAAATCATGCGTCATTGACTTGTCACTTTGCCACTAATTGGGCTAGACTAACATGACTGTGAGCCTTCGATTTGAAGCAATGCCGAAACGCCGTGATTATCGGTTCGGGCCTCATCGGCAGTTGTATCCTCAGTATCGGAGATTGGCCGCCTACGATTAGGATCGTTCTGAATAGCTAGGTTATATAAGTCTATGCCAGTCCTTCGCCTATACAATCGTTCCACTGAATGTCATATTGTTCCATTGTTTCAACATCGATACATTCACAATGGCACCATCAGCAGATACCTCCTTTGCAGCTCATGCTGCCAACCAGTTCACATCATTTGAGAAAGATCGCCAGGCTTCATCTGACGAGACACTCTATGCAACCAGCAATGGTGTGCCGATCCCTCATCCCTACGAGACTCAAAGGGTAGGAGAGAATGGACCGCTACTCCTTCAGGATTTCCACCTGATCGACCTCCTGTCACATTTCGACCGCGAGCGGATTCCGGAGCGAGTTGTCCACGCCAAGGGTAGCGGCGCTCATGGATTCTTTGAATGCACAGATCCTATTCCTGAGCTGACCGTGGCGGACATCTTCTCTGCCAAGGGCAAGAAGTGTCCCATGACGGTTCGCTTCTCAACAGTCGGAGGTGAATCAGGCTCGCACGACTTGGCTCGGGATCCTCGTGGTTTTGCTGTCAAGTTCAGAACTGAGGAGGGCAACTGGGATCTAGTCGCAAACAACACACCTGTATTCTTCCTGAGAGACCCAGCCAAGTTCCCTCACTTCATCCATACTCAGAAGCGAGATCCATCCACACATTTGACTCACGCCGATGATTCAACAATGTTCTGGGATTATCTGAGTCAAAACCCCGAGTCTATCCATCAAGTCATGATCTTGATGGGTGACCGAGGCATTCCTGATGGTTATCGACACATGCACGGATATTCGGGCCACACGCTCAAGTTAATCAACAAGGACGGGGAGTGGGTGTACTGCCAAATCCATATGAAGACTATGCAAGGAGTCAAGTTCATCACGCAGGAGGACTCGGCCAACTACTCTCCTGACTACAGCCAGAAGGACCTGTATGAGGCTATCCAGCGGGGCGAATACCCTAAGTGGTCGGTTGAGATCCAGACCATGACGCCGCAGAAAGCCGAAGAGGTGTGGGAGACACAAGGAATCAACGTCTTCGATCTGACACATATTTGGCCCCAAGGCCAGTTCCCGCTCCGCAAGGTTGGCGAGTTCACCCTGAACGAGAACGCGATCAATTACTTCGCCGAGATCGAGCAGGTCGCTTTCAACCCGGCGCACATGCCGCCAGGCATTGAGCCTAGTGCGGACCCCGTTCTACAGTCTCGTCTGTTCTCGTACCCGGACACTCACCGACACCGAATTGGCGTCAATTACCAGCAGCTGCCAGTCAATGCGCCACGCACTGGCTTCAAGTACGGCAACTTCCAGCGCGATGGCCAGATGGCCTTCTACAACCAGGGTGCGAGACCAGCCTATCTCAGCAGCATAGAGCCGATCAAGTTCCGCAGCAGGACGGTCGATCTGGACAAGACCCATGGCCACTTCGTTGGTGACGCCGTGACCTTCTTGTCAGAGATAAGACCTGAGGATTTCAATGCACCCCGTGCGCTGTGGCAGAAGGTCTGGGACGAGCCTGCTCGCGAGCGGTTCATCAACAATGTCTCCGGCAAGATGGAGCTGTGCAAGGAAAAGGAAATTTTGAAGCGACAGATTGCCATTTTCCGCGAGGTTGATCCTGACATTGCGACTCGCCTTGAGAAGGCTACTGGCGTCCAGGGGTATGATGGTATTGCGAACTTGCGATTCAATGGCACGCACAACGGCATGACCAAGGATGCAAAGCTGAAATATGCAAACGGCATCAGCGTTACGTCAGGCAGGAGTGTCACGAAGAACAATGGCGCTCCGACGAGAGGTAGCCATCGTGGTGTGGCGAATGGAGGTTTGAATGGAGCTGTTAAGGCACAATGAGTGGGATATATCAGTCACGTCACGAAGTAATGTATAACAGTATGTAAAATAGAGAGGATGTATAGAGGGAATTGACTATGGCGAGAGTCTCATATCAATCCGTTTTCATAATCGAGAACATGCATTGGTGATTGAATTTACTTTGTCCAGCCTCAAGTGCTCAAATTTGACCACTAATTATTCGAGTAAAATGGTGGAGTCATTCATTGTAGGTGCTGTAAGGCGCTGTGCACGGACCGGCGTATGGTGGGTGTGTGGTGGCGGTACCTGAATCGCTGCAGCGACCTGCCGAGTGTTTTCATCAACAATGACGACTCACTTCACCCCGCCATAAACCACCAGGCATCAAAGACGACCGTCGCCACTTGCGGTCTTCGCAGTTACTACCATGACCTGAGTTGCCAATGCGCCATGGCGATACTATCGAAGCCGATTCCAGCGCTGTATACAGTCTACATTCTGCGCTCGACTGTCCGCCATGCGTCGCTCTACATCGGCTCGACGCCTCATCCACCCCGCCGATTGAAGCAGCACAACGGAGAGGCGCGCGGCGGAGCGGTGCGCACAGCTCGTGACAGCCTTCGGCCGTGGGAGATGGTGGCGATCGTGTCGGGGTTTCCAGGCATGGTTGCGGCTCTGAAGTTCGAGTAAGAGGCACGCCTTGGTTTCTAGGGGCGCAAACCCCCGCTACGCGTGAATGCTCTGCTGATTCCCTTGATAGATGGGCCTTGACGAACCCGCATCTCTCGCTACACATACCCTCAACTTCACGACTATCTGTTGCTACGCAAAGGAAGAAGAATGGCCAACCGCGGCGGCCGCGAGCCAGCCTGACCTCGATCCTCTCGAATCTACACCTCTTACTTCGGGTTCCTAGTTTCTCGCGGTGGCCATTGAGGCTGCATTTCTTTGCCAAAGATGTCCACACGTCCTGGGGGAAGTGCTGCTCGACATCGGCGGAGCCAATGCGAGAGAACATGGACATCGTGACCGATTTCGGCCCCGGATCTAATGATACGGCGGAACCTACAACTGTCGCCTCGAGTGAAGCTGGTGGGGCAGCCGCCTCTGCGGTTCTGACTGAATCATGGGGGGTCTACGCCCTACCGCTGGACTATGCGCCTATGAAGGAATACGTCGCGAAGGGACACTCTGTCTTTTCCTTTGAGCGGGAGGGTGACTGTGTCGTCTGCGGGGACCATCTAGCTTCCGGTGAAGGGCTACATGCCATCTGCTCGAATGACGGCTGCGAGGCTGTCGGTCACCTAGACTGTTGGAGTCGACATATGCTCCACGGACAGGATAAAGAGACTCTACTTCCGACAACGGGATCATGTCCCCAATGTGGAGGGGAGGTACGCTGGGGCGATATGATGAAGGAGCTGACTTTGCGAGTGAGAGGACAGAAAGATGTCGAGAAGCTCCTGAAGACGAAGAAGAGCGCCAAGGCTAAAGGAAAGGAAAAGACAACGGCATGATTCTTCTTAAATAGCCGGCTTGTATCATTACGGGCCATTGCATTGGAAGGGTCTGCATTTCGGACGGCGTTGGTAAAGGCAATGGTATAGCTATAGATACCCTGAGGCAGCAGACGCTGCAGCGAACTTCCAGCAGGAAGCTCAGTCGATCCCATCTCATTAGCTGGATTTAAAGCTGATTAATTATCACACATGCCACATTGGAATTATGCGAGCCTTGAAATGTGATAGGCCTGTATCCTTAAGGAGCATATGTTAAGAAAACAAGAGCATAGAGTTGTAACTGCTGTCCTCGACGTTCACAGACTCACATATTAGATTGAGTGATGAGATATAGATACTAATATTGGTTCTTGAGGTGTCACACTCAAGGAGGTCACGATGCAATAGTGTCGGAGGTGCGAAGAGATGTCGTCGGAGTCGGCTGAGGTTGCGGTCGAGGTTGGGTCGGCATACGGAGCAGCAGGGAATACACGTGCCGGCTGAGTCATCAGAGATGGAGGCCCCGCAGCTGGACCCAAGGACGGTCTTGGCGGCGATTTTTAAACGTCACGTCCTTCTGATTTGCCAACTTGGCGACGCTATTGACCCCACCCCTGCAAATTCCTCCGGCGATATCAGATTTCATGACTGACACCTGCATTACATTTCAAGGGCGCGCGAGGCGAGGGGGCTGCAACTCCTTGCGGACAGGCGAAAAATGGGGGAAATTGAGGCGCAATGCCACCGGATCACGACTGTCGCTCTGCCTTCCTCCAAATCTCGGCCTGGCTGTAGCACTGTGAGCGTCTTCCAGGCGTTGATTTAAGCTCCGACGGCCCAGAAATGTGGTAGGACAGGAGCAGGCATCATTTTAGTGTAGTCTGAGCCGGACTGACGCTGACTCGCCAACGGGAGAGGGGAGCTGCCACATCTGTCATGGATTGACCTCCGCCGCCCCTTACCTCTTCTCTTTCTTCCCCGTTCCGGCGTCCTCCCACCCACATCATTCCCGATCATGAGGCAGCACCAGCTGATGGGCATCGACTTCTGCTGAAAGCGCAAAGAGAGGCTTGAAGCTTAACTTGCTCAAAGATATTGTCGACGCCATTTACCATAGCATGCAGCGATGATGCTCGGATCTGTAGAAGACTCAGCGGTAGAGGCTGCAGCAGGCTCTGGTGCGAGGTTGCAACGGAGTCAGTTCCATCCTGCGGCAATAAAACGCATGTTTGAACCCCAATCACTCCAGTTCATGCCTACCTAGGTAGTGCACACACGGCGCATTAGACGGCCCCCCGCTGGCGACACCCAGCTTTTGCAGTAGGTAGGTATCAGGATCCACCGACTAAGAGAATACCTACCAACATAAAGAGCCAAATTGCCATGATTCATGATTGACCGCTATCGCAATGTCGATTGATTCGAGTGGATGGAGCGTCGCATATCGAGAGGCAATTCGACCGACCGAGAATAGAATGGCCACGCGTGGTCCTGTACGTAAGATCTTGTGGCATGCAAGGCATTATAATTCCTTTGAATAAGAGACCTGTTCAGGTCTCGCCGAGCGACAGGTGATAGGTACTCTGTGGCATCAACGTACAGTACAGAATGTACTTGAAGGTACAGTCGGGATGCGCCCCAATTCTATGGGAATGGAGGTAGAATGTCGGTCTATTTAGCTCGAGGTTCTCCTAAGTACCTACTACGACCTAGACCCACCCTCCCCACGCTGCCCAGTGCAGGTGATTCCACGTCCATTTCCATGGGTTGGGTTGGTCCTTCCTCGTAAAGCTCCGACCGAGGGAGCAGCCTCCATCCAGCCTCGCCTTACCTTTTCCCTGCACTTGCCCTGGCTGATTGATTATCTGAGTACTTGGTTGCGTTGCAGGTTCTTGCACTGCGCCGCTCGCTCTTGCCATTTTACTTAGTAGCATCTTAGGTTAATGTTAGTTACCTCCCACAGGAGAGTAGGTAGCAGTAGATTCCGTTCTTCACCTCAGCTTGACGAACGAGGGAAGGTACATCAGGTACATGCACGTACTTCACATCGCTCTTTCTCTCTGCTCTAGATCTGCCTGGCATGTCATTTTCTGAAGTGAGGTGCGAACGGCCGAACCGACCGCCCCCCCTTCCCATGTCGGTTCCGTGCCCATTTTCCCACTGCACTCGGTATGTACACTACCTACGCACGCACGCACCGCACTTTCCCTCCTGCCCACGCAGCCCCATGGCCCATGTCGTATGTCCTTAATGGCTGTCCCATGCCTCTCCCGTTGGATATTGTGTCGGTCGTAGATTCCTGTCCTGATCTGTCCATCGTATCCTGCCTGCCGGCTCCTTCCTTCCCTTCCTTTCCATTCATTCCTTACCTGACGGAACCTAACCTGACTTCCCACCTTGCGCCTCCCTCTTGTGGTAGACCAGGTACAGAAGCAGGTAGGTACCTTGATCCGCTCCTCCTTCTAATGTTCTTTTCCCACGGAAGCCGCACACACTATGTAGACATTGGATTGCCGACCATTTACGCTACACACTACCTACCTACCTACCTACCTACCTCGCACTACACTACATCCTACTCCATAGAAAGTGAATAGGCGCCAAATCGGCATTGGCGTCCACCCTCGCTCGGCCGGTATCTCTTCCACTTTGAGGTACCTCCTGCACCTTCCTTCCATGTCTTGTCTACCTACCTAAAACTCGTTGTTTCTCCATTCTCTGTATCCACTCGTAGGAATCCCGCCATTTGGTCACGCTTTATCGTCTCCCACGGTCTGTAGCGGGCGGTCAATTACTTTTCCCATTACAGGAGACCACCAGGTACTGTACTCACACCTTACCTAAGGTTCGACCCTGTTGTATCTGGCCTGCGGGTCTGCTCGGATTTTATACTTCCACCTCAACCACGGGTCCCGCCCTCTTCTTTCCCGTCACATACATCTCTTCCGCTCCTACAACCCCCAGACAGACCACGATTTCCTCGCCCGTCCACCGTCGAATCCGCTCCGCATTCCTCCCAATCGACGGCTCTACCTCCCAGACCCTTCCGACTGTAACTCTTGGGAGGCAGCGCCTCCTCCCTGCGATGCGACGACCTATGCATGTGTTCAATCTTTCGGCTTATGCATGAATTTGTGCAGCGATAGCGACCTTCTGTCACACTCCCTGTCTTCACCAACTCTCGGCACTTGTCCCCTGATATCAGTCGCCGTGTCTGCTCCTCGAGAATCCCAGCCCATCCCTCATGGTCTCTGTTCCGACAGCCATCGGTAGCGTCGCTGCCGCTGGCGGCGGAGGGAGCTCCAGCGCAAATGTCAGCTCAAGGGGATCGCCTGCTGTGGGCCATGCGGGCTCAAAACCAAAGACCGCACCAGTGCATGCGAATGGATATCACCCTACAAACTCACACACTCTAAGTTCTATGACCAGCGCACCGCTCGACCTATCCTCTGTCGAACGAAGGGGCCAGCCTACAGCAGTTCGAGAACCGATCAAGAAGAAGAGCCGCCCATATGGGCTGCAGGAGGCACCAGTGTACAAGCCCACTGAGGAGGAATGGCGAGATCCTTTCGAGTACATTCGAAAAATCACACCAGAGGCCAAGAACTATGGTCTCTGCAAAATCATACCTCCCGAGTCATGGAATCCAGACTTTGCAATAGACACAGAGGTGAGCACACCTGCGCATCTTGTCGCTTCCGCGTCTTGTCTTCACTCTGGATGACCGCAAAGAATGGTTTACTGGAATCGCAATGCTGACCTTTGCTCTTACATAGAAATTTCACTTTAGAACGAGAAAGCAAGACTTGAACAATGTGGAAGGCAGTAAGTCTTACTCATCGTCGATGCTTGCACATCCCTCCTCCAAGGCAACGACTGAACGCAGCCATGATACAGGTAGCCGAGCGAACCTGAACTATGTCGATGCTCTCCTCAAGTTCCACAAGCAGCATGGAAACAACCTCAACCGAATGCCATTTGTCGACAAGCGACCCCTTGATCTCTACCGACTGAAAAAGGCTGTGGAGTCCCGTGGAGGCTTTGAGAAGGTGTGCAAACTCAAGAAATGGGCCGAGATTGGCCGTGACTTGGGCTACAGCGGCAAAATCATGTCATCCTTGTCGACATCTCTCAAGAACTCCTACCAGAAATGGCTTTGTCCATATGAGGATTATCTACGGTTGGCCAAGCCAGGTGTTCAACAGCAGCTTGAATGGGAGAACGGTGGCCCACTGACCCCTAGTCCGGCCCCAAGCCCTATGAAGAGATCTAATGTGAACACACCGTCTAGTCTTCGAGGCGACTCTCCAGCTCGACATGCGACTGATGCCTTGCAGGCATCTGTGAACGGCAGGGTGAATGGGACTGACCGTGACACTCCAATGGCTGATGCTCCCGCTGTCGCCACGCCACCTGTCACTTCTGGATTCAAGGCTATCAACTCGGGCGGGTTTACAGCAGTCAATGCTGGATTCACTAGCGTTAATCGCTCAGTGCCTCCAGAAGGCAACACCTTCACGCCTCCCAAACAATTTGGAAGCCCATTATCATCAGCGAAAAACACCCCTGAGTACCGGCCTTCTGGTTTGGGACCTGCACATGTGCTCAAACGACAGCAGAGTTGTGACAGCCTCGATTCAGCTAAGAAGGAGAGTGCCGCCGAGAAAGACGACGAGAATGTAAGCCGCAGAAGCAAGCGACTCAAGAAAGGTAAGCCTTCCATTGATATTCTCTTCCGTTGACACAGTTCAATTCACGATGCTTTCCCTTCTACTTGGTCCATTGGCCCTTTCCTGGCTACTAAGCTCGAGATTTGCGGCTACGAAAAGGCCGGCGGATTTCACCGAGGACCAAGTCAGCACGAGCGCCCAATTTGGTGCCTGGTGCGTCAATCGTGCAGGGGTTGTGCTGCACCAAAGTCATGCGGTTTTCCGTTTTACCATGCTTCAGGGATCTATCTTGGATGCAGCGGAGTTGCGATTTCTATTGGGCAGAATTGCCGGCTAATGCGGTTGACTTGCAGATACCGTCCCGACTGTGGCTGGTTCGCATATGACCTTGTTTCGCCCGACCGTCCCCAGAATACTCAGAGACGAGACTTCGGCTCCGGGTGAGGTAAGCAACAATAACACTTTTGATGTGTAGAAGCGGGTATTGATCTAATCATTTAATGCAGAAATGTGAGCAGTGTGGCAAAGGTGAAGAGGGTGGCTTCATCATTGTCTGTGAATCATGTGATCATGGCTATCATGGCACGTGCCTGGATCCGCCCCTGAAGGCAAAGCCAGAGAACGAGTGGAACTGTCCTCGATGTCTTGTCGGCGATGGCCAGTTTGGCTTCGAGGAAGGCGGGTTGTACTCTCTCAAACAATTCCAAGAGAAAGCGGCGGACTTCAAGCAAGGGTACTTCGAGAAGAAGATGCCACACGATCCGCTTCTCAACTGCTCCCGACCGGTGACCGAAGACGATGTTGAACGGGAATTCTGGCGACTGGTCGCTGATTTGGATGAGGAAGTGCAAGTAGAATACGGCGCTGATATTCATTGCACGACTCACGGTTCCGGATTCCCCACCGTTGAGAAACAGCCCAATAATCCCTATTCGACCGACCCCTGGAATCTCAATATTCTCCCTTTGCATCCGGAGAGCTTGTTCCGGCACATCAAGTCCGATATCTCTGGTATGACCGTTCCCTGGGTCTACGTGGGAATGATCTTCTCAACTTTCTGTTGGCACAACGAGGATCACTACTCATATTCGGCTAACTATCAGCACTTTGGGGCGACAAAGACCTGGTATGGTATCCCTGCTGAAGACGCAGAGAAGTTTGAGCATGCTATGAGAGAAGCGATACCCGAGCTTTTTGAAACGCAGCCCGATCTTCTCTTCCAGCTCGTCACTCTCCTCACTCCCGACCAATTGAAGAAAGCAGGTGTTCGTGTATACGCTCTGGATCAGCGCGCCGGCCAGTTGGTTATCACTTTCCCTCAAGCGTACCATGCGGGCTTCAATCATGGGTTCAACTTCAACGAAGCCGTCAATTTTGCGCCATGCGATTGGGAACCATTTGGGTTGGATGGCGTTGAGAGATTACAGCTGTATCGACGCCAACCGTGTTTCTCCCACGATGAACTGTTGTGGACCGCAGCAGAAGGTATCACCAGTGGAGGTTTGACAATTCACACAGCAAAATGGCTTGCACCTGCACTTGATCGAATCCACCGCCGCGAAATCGGCCAGCGTGAACAATTCATCGAAAAGCACATCACTGCATCACCTCACCGTTGCAGCCTAGGCGGCGAAGGTGATGGATCTTGTCCATTGACATTCGATGTTGAGGATGTAGATGTACCTGAAGATGAATATGGATGCGCTTATTGCAAGGCATATTCCTATTTGTCAAGATTCAAGTGTCTCAGTTCTGGCAAGGTGTATTGTCTGTTACATGCTGGGAACCAACCTTGCTGTGATCTGCCAGAAGACCAGCGGTACCTCGGGAAGGACCATGTTCTTTACTTCCGCAAGGCCGACGAGCTTATTAATGCGACCTACAAGAAAGTTGCAGACAAGGCTAATCTGCCGGAAATTTGGGAGGAGAAGTATGAGAAGGCGTTGGATGAGGAAGCCACTCCGTCACTTAAGACTTTACGGACCCTGCTCAATGAGGGCGAACGCATCCCGTACGAGCTAAAATCTCTTCCGATGTTGCGAGCGTATGTCGAGCGATGTAATCACTGGGTGGAAGAGGCCACGAACTATACCGTTCGAAAACAGCAAAACAGGCGGAAGAGCGAAAAATCATGGCAGAGCGGGCTGCGCAAGTCTATTGGCAACTCTCAACAGGACGAGAAAGAGCGCGAGATGCGAAATGTCCGCAACATCTACCGTCTCCTTGAGGAGGCGGAGCAAATAGGATTCGACTGTCCTGAGATACTCCAACTCCAGGACCGTGCCGAGGCCATCAAAGCTTTCCAAGAGAACGCCGGCCAGGTTCTCGAAAACCCAACATCACTCCAGACCGTTGAAGCCGTAGAAGAGCTGCTCGAAGAAGGCCAAAGCTTCAATGTCGACCTCCCAGAAGTGGACAAACTGACGCGGGAGCTCGACCGGTTGAAGTGGAATCACAAGGCAAAGGTCAACCGGGGCGTCGTCATGACTCTCAGTGAAGTCAGAGATCTGATCGAAGAAGCAACAGAGCTGAACATTCCTCCCTACAACGATCACATGGCGTATTACATGGAGCAGTACTCAGCTGGAATTCACTGGGAGAAGAAAGCCAAGGAACTGATCAATGCAGAGATGGTTCACTACCCTCAGCTGGAAGCACTCTCGAACCAAGCTCAACAAAATGCCTTGCCTGTCTCACAAGATACACTCCAGGCCGTTGATCAAATCCTCTACAAGCAGAGAGAGGCGCATCGGCAAATAATTGACTTGAACAATCGGTCTCGAGATCCGGATTACCGCAAACGACCCAAGTATAACGAAGTCGCGGACGTTATGAAGAAGATCGAGGATTTGCAGTCTAAACCTGTCGGCACTCTGGATCTTGAGAAGGAGCAAAAGCGGCATGAAGACTGGATGCGACGGGGCAAGAAACTTTTCGGCAAGACAAATGCGCCTCTGCATATTCTTAAGAGCCACATGGAATACGTGCTGGACCGAAATCTTGACTGTTTCGACATTGTCAATGACAAGCCGCGCTTGCCAGCAGAGCCAGCGTCACGGGAACCGAGCCCGGATGGAAAGATGCACCGCTGGGAAGATCCAAGATTTCGTGAAGTTTTCTGTCTATGTCGCCGCATCGAAGCTGGTATGATGATTGAATGTGAACTGTGTCATGAATGGTGAGCACCTTTAACCAGTCGTGGTCGAGGCCAGAATTAACAAGGCTTTAGGTATCATGGCAAATGTCTGAAGATTGCCCGTGGCAAGGTCAAAGAGGATGATAAATATACATGTCCCATCTGCGATTGGAGGGTCAAAATTCCTCGCGATGCTGCTCGTCCAAATCTGGAAGATCTCCTTTCATGGTACGAGGAAATTCCAGGCCTTCCATTCCAGCCGGAAGAGGAAGAGGTTCTCAAGAAGATCATCGATAACGCTCAGGACTTCCGAAATCATATTGCGGCATACTGCAATCCTGTTCTGTCTACAGCCAACGAAGCCGAAACTCAAAGGTTTTATCTACGAAAGATTGAAGGTGCAGAGATTCTCCTCGCTTACGAAACAAATTTCTTCCGTCAAGAATTGCATAAATGGAGTCCTGTGGCACCAGAAGCACCACCGGTAATTGAGTTTTCTAAGAGTACGCGCAAACCGAGGCCGACAAAGTTGCAAAAGATGCTCCAGCAGTATGGCGTTGACGACCCAGAGGATCTGCCTGAGGCAGCCAAGGCAAAGGCTAATAGCCTCAAGCGAAAGGCGCTCAATGCAGAGGCCGCCGCTGCTGCAGCGGCATCTGGTCTTCCTGGCGGCAGTGGAACTGCCATCAGCCCGGGATCTCATGGGTATGGTGGCCCGCATCCGTTCTTTGGGCGATCGACCTCTTCCCAGCCGCAAACACCCGGTTTGTCTATCACCAGCAGTTCTCACGCTCACCCATCCCGAGGACCTGACTCATCTTCCTCGTCACATGGTCATGCACAAGGACGATCTGGATCTTCTGGAGATATCCTCAAACCTGATGCAATGGATATCGATTCTGGCCCTAGCATGCATCCTGGCTTCTTTATGCCGGATGGCGCTGGACCACATCTTCTTGCTGACACCAATTCGAACCTGTCGCTTGAGGAAAGACTCCTGCGGGCTAATTCCGATGATGTTAATGGTGCAGACTTTAGTCTGTTGACTGATGCTGGAAAGGAGAAGGCTCTCGAGATCCTCAGTCGCACTGAAAGCGGTCGGCGCAGAGCAGAGGAGCTCCTGGGTCGCGGCATTTGGAGCGATGAAGCGGGCACTCAGAATGAAGAAGTTGATGGCGGCGACATGGATCGCATGTTTGCCGACATGACCAATCAGGATGACGATGAGGACGACGGAGGAAAGCGCAGAGACGACCATGCCGTTACCGCTGAAAGCCTAGAGAGCGAGAGGAATGGCATGGATGCTTTGTTGGACAGCGATTAATTGCAGACATGTTACAAAACAACATGTGTGGATCTTGTTGGAGTCTTGCTACATATTGGCGTACGGATTTAGGTGCCTTCAAAAACTTTCTTGTTGCTGTCGGCGGAGGAGGGCATTATTTGCTTGCTTGCCTGCTGTCTAGTTTTCTGTTTCTGGCTTGCTGGCGTACTGGGGTGGAAGGACGGTTATGCCCGACATGACCATCCGCTATGAGTCTTCTCTCCCCCTCTCCTTCTACTTCGAGAGGGACGGGACCAACTCACCCAAACGGCTTGCATGTACACTACTACGATTTCTCAGGAGGGCCGGATCATTCCACGGCATCTTACGCATTAGAGTCGGAGTTTTATGGTAATCACCTCGGGGACAGACGCTTTGTCGCAGTCCCCTGGAGGCTTGTGCAAGCAATACACTAGGAAGGCAAATTCATTACAATTTCTTCATTGCAAACACTGCGATGCAAGCTACTTGATATGGACGTTTACGTGTGACTAATTGTCACAGCAAGGTAAGGGCACGTTTTCCATTATGGTTATTCCTAAGAATGAGTCGTAGATACTTGGTCTACAGCCAAAATGCCTTAGCTCTACGCAGAAGTCACCTGTATCTGATACGTCCTTCCTAAGCTGTACTGCACGCGAAGATAACCTAGCCTGCGTACGTCGTGAATGTTGCCAGCAATGTTTGATTGACTGAGGTGTGGCGCAAAGAAGGTCATTGCCAATTTGTGCACGAACAAGAACAGCAACCACCCAAGCAGCCATGAGATGTACTCTGGCCAGCCATGACTTCCAAGCCATCAGTGACTGGAACCATCTGACAATTCGTCGTCGTCGTTATCTTGGCTCGACCACTCTTCCCCCTCCGGGTCATCTTCACTGTCCTCAAGCTCTTCCACAACTCGAGTCTCATCGTCATCAGCCTGAGCTACACGGCTGGTCAAGTCGTCGTCTCCATCCTCCATAGATATGATGGTTTGCACGCGACCAATTTCAACAGATGGTATGAAACCTCGCTGAAGCATATCGTCATCTGTGTACTTAATCTTCTTCGTCTTTTTGACCTTGGCAGGATACGATGAGCCGTCGACTCGAGGAGGCAAGCTGTCGCATCGGGACGCCGCCCGCTTATGCAATCCCTAATTGGTAGGCTGGCGTTGGCGTCGTCTCTGCTCTGCTCGTGCAATTGGTCTGCCATCCAAGTGGCCGTCCCTATTCTTCGCGTTTGCTACTACCTGCAAAAGTTGCTGAAGGCCAATAAGAGCCCCACCCTCCCGAACTTCCCCGACCTCCTGATCCCTCGAACTCACTCTAGATCTCGTTGGACTGTACACGACAATCCGTCTTGGGCTAGAAGCAGGTGATTCGGAGAGATTGGTCTCGCCTGCATCGACTTCAATTCGAGCCGGTGAAGTAGGCGTTTGGATGGGACTGGCCTCGATTTCGCTCTCGTTAGCCTGAGATTCGGCAGCAGCCTTCCTCTCCTCCGCCTCCCGTCTTGCCTTCTCCCGCTGCCGCTTTCGCTTTAAGGCTTTCTTGTTCACGAGCGGATCTCGGTCCTCGACTTGGACTGAGCATCCATCCTCGAGGTACTTAGCTACCGTACCATTCTTGTGAGCAAGATTATTCTTCAGTTCGAAGACCTGCTTGTTTGATGCACCTCTTCCTAAGGTAGCGGAGCTAGAAGCCGATCTTGCTGGCGACAAGGGAATGTTCACAGGCCTGGGGAATTCTTCGGGATGCTCTTTGCACTGATGGATGGCCGGGTACTGCTCATGGCCAGAAGAGTCATGAATATTGGTTTCTTCACTGCCCATCTCCTTCGAAGCCTCTATGGTCTTCTCCACGACTCTGTCTTCTTGTATCGATCCTTGGTCCTCGTCGGTAACTGATCCAGATCTCGACTCATATTGCTTTCCGGTGTTAGAGATACCGATCGAGCCCTCTGTCGGCGTTTTCGGAGTCGTGGGGGTGGATGGGGGTGAAGGTGGATCCCCATTCTGTAGGGGTACATGATCCCCAGCAACAGACGGAGGCGCTGACTGAGGGGGTGTGACTTGATCTCCAGCTTTGCGTGCCTTCTTTTTCTTGCTGCCATTCTTGTTCTTTGTGGCACGTTCCTTTAAGGCAGCCTCCTGCGTTCCACCATTCTGGGAGCCGCCGTTCTGGGAGCCGCCGTTCTGAGGGGTCATTGACTCAGGAGAGCCTGGTCTCGTGGGCACATGTGACATCTTTGACTGGCTTTGCGGAATCTTTGCAGTCAAGGTACCATGTGCGATGTAGTGGTCCCAAGCTTTGTTCAGGTGATGCACTTCCTCATTTTGCACTCGATCGAATCGGTAGGTCTGCAAGTTTAGGACAGAAATATTCCATCCGGTGAACTTGAGAGGATAGAATGGGAATGCTGCATATCTAAGTTCATAGTCGTTCATACCCTCCATCATGACAACATGGATTTGAAGAGCAGACAGGCTCTGACAACCATCAATGAACCCTGAAATCTCTTCAAGGATTGCTTGATTAATGGCGGGGAGATTGTGACGCGGGTAATCATCAGGAAAATGAATCCGGACACGGAGGGCCTGGGTGAATCTCTGGAAATAAGGGTTCCCGCGAAGTCTGGCAATGATGTTGTTGAAGGAGGTTCTGGCATCAGGCGTATCTCGACTCTTGAGGTCGACATCGATCTCCAAGGTGTTGATGGAGTAGACAAACTGTAGGAGATCATCGGAGATCTGTTTGTTCACAAACAGGAGATTGGGGCGGTTCCGGTAATGCGTCTCCCGCCTCAGGTAGCCCTGTTGGTCGTAGTAATGAGAATACTGCATCACATTTCGATCGATGCCATATTCCGACACAACAAAGTCGCTCTTGAAGTCGTCACGACGCTCACGGCTCCACACTTGGGCATAGATGAGTCTGCGGACATCTGCCACAGACCGGCCAGTGACCCCGCCTGCAAAGAGATGGCTGTCGGCGGGAAACAGCTTCCTGAAGGCATTGACTTTTGTTGGATTGCGCTTATTTGATTTGCTGGGTGCAAGTTTCTTCGGCACAGTCTGCCAAGTGTTGCGAGCCATTGTGCTGAAGGTATCTGGCTCAATTATCGGTGGAGCTGGTATCAGATATGATGATACTCCGAAGGTATTGGGGAGGTGATGCTGGAGTGAAGTTGGTAGGTCACTGGTTGGTGGAAAACAAAATTAAGGAGCCTCAGATTACCACCTAGGATAGAAAGGTGAGATACAAAAAAAATTAAGGTGCAAAAAGACCTGGGTGAAGCTTCCTTGTCGCAAGATGAATGGGTAGGCCGATGAAGGGATCAAATATCAGCGTCGAGCAGGTTGAGCTCTGGATTCAAGGAGGAAGATAGTGAGACCGGATAGAAGGAAGAGGGTCTGTGGAAAGTTGGTGACGGATTGTGACGGTGACGGAAAGTAAGGGAGGTCGGGGAGGCAAAGAAGAAACGGAAACGGCACGTCAAGGTAGAGATGAGCTTGGTGTGACGAAGTGTGCCAAGCGGTCGAAGTTGCTGATGTGATGGCTGTTGATGTGGAGAGGTTCCGCTGGTCTTTGCGATGCAGGACCTCCTGGTATGGGAGTGATTTGTGTGATTGTTGCTTATGCCTCTGCTCCAGGTTCGTTGGCATCTCTGGACATGAGGCTGACGCAACCAGCAAGGATCAGGGCGATGATGATGGCGAGAAGCGTGAGGCCGAGAAAGAGAACCGCGTCCATTTTAGGCGGACATCCCTGGACGACGGCAATAAACAACACGGTGACGACAATGGGGACGTCGCAGAAACGCCAACAAACTCGAGATGGCTTCTGCCTGATTCACAACAAAAACAGGAGGCACTAGAGACAAGCACACGCAGTAGTGTCGTCGACCAAAGTAAAGAACAAAAGTGAAGCTTTATTGATTGTCTGTTGTTGTTTGTCCCTGTCCCTCCTTCATCGTGATGCAAACAGCCGAGACACAGGCCCCAGCAGGGAAGGTAGAAGAGCTAGGTGGATAGCATGATTGCACCTACCTTCAGTAACAAGATTGCCACACAAACGTGCCTTCCATTTCTGCAGTACCTGAACGGTTGCATGATTTTCATGATGGTGAGGAAGACCACCTGCCTTGCGTGGGTGAGCTCCAGAGGAGCACCCCGCCCCGACAAGCCCATGAAGGAAGGCACTACCTTCTCCTCATTGAACTTGAAAGCACGGCCAATTCCAGTATCTTCTCTGATAGTCCAATGATAGAGGAAGGAAAGATGGCTCTTTGGCCCAAAGATTACCAAAACGGTTTTACCTGAGTAGATGACATCTGGACTCTATGACGTGAGTCCCACGCGCCTGCAATCTAGGCCACAGTAGTGAACAGCTCACATTGACGGCACGACAAATGAGGCTCAAGACAACTGGAGAAGAGAAACCGGGCAGTTCTATGCAATTGCCAGAACTTGCAACATTTACCGCTGTCATGTTCAAGAAAGGAAAAGGGACATGAGCCTAGGCCGTTGGCATGGAGGCTGAAGGCGGCAGAACACGGACAAGATGAAATGTAGATCTCATAATGAAACTGAAGCCAGATGGAGAAACCGGCTGGCAGTGATTAACGAGGATCCTTTCCCAAGAGGTTGCTCTTTGAGCACCCAGTGACACGAAACGTGTCTACCACAGCGCATTACCCATTGGATGCAGGCATCAATAAGCAGTGCAGTGGTTGAGTGCCCATTTCTATCTAAAGAGCAAAAGAAGAGAAGAGGAAGTCGAAGAGCAATTTTTGATGACCCAGACAAGGGGGAAGCGGGCTCCATCATCGTCACGTGAGTCGAGTGTCGCCACGTGATCTCTCCAGATGGGTGCTTCGTGGGCATTAGCTTTAGCAGCCTTCTGATTGGTCGACTGAAAGCCGAACGCTGCCGAGTCTCCAATTGCCGCAAAGCTCCGACTCCCACTCTCCAAAGTGAAGCATCACCAAATCAGTCCTCAATCCGGTCCAGTCCCATTTTGGTAGATTGCTTGCACGCATCTTCCTCAATTGGGGTTCATTTCCAAGGAATCGAGTCTCACCGGAGGACGGGGAAGTAAGCACCAACAATAGCAGCCATGATCTCGAGGGTAGGCCTCACGGCCGCGCGCAGAGGTGAGTTTCCGTCCCCCCGAGTTACGATCACAAGACTCTTGGGGAATCCCAATTCTTCCTCTCCTACCTGGTGAAACCGTTGGTACTGACTCTCTCGTCCCTTCTATCAGTCGCCGCCAAGCCATCCGCGACTTTCTTCTCTGCAAACCTCCTCCGCGCCAGCGCCGTCTCCTCCCTGCCCGCCATCCAGCAGACCCGCGGCGCCGCCACGCAGAAGCTGACCGAGACCGACGCCCAGGAGCTGCTCGCCTCGCAGCGCCGCCAGCGGCCGACCTCGCCTCACCTGTCCATCTACGCCAAGGACCAGACATGGTTCACCGCCTCCATCTGGACCCGTATCACCGGCGGCATCTTCAGCGGCGGCCTCTATGCATATGCCACCGCCTACCTCGCCGCCCCGCTGCTGGGCTGGCACCTCGAGAGCGCCAGCATCGCTGCCGCTGTTGGCGCCCTGCCGTTCGCTATCAAGGGCGGTCTTAAGTTTCTGATTGCCTGGCCGTTCGTCTTCCACCTATTTAACGGCATCCGCCATCTAGTCATGGATGTGGGTATTGGCTTCACGAAGAAGACCCTCAAGACACAAGGCTGGGCCATCTGGGGTGCTAGCCTGTTGGGTGGTCTGTACCTCGGATTCATCTGGTAAATTGAAAGTAGGGGAGGAGAGTATCTGTGTTATGGAGAGGCATCCGAGTGGGTATGATTATATTAAGTCTTACGAAGACTCACCAACGGGGCGGGCAGAGAACGCGTGTTAGACAAGGAACAGAACAGTCTGATTCCGGTGTACTGGGAGGATCAAAGAATATCATTGTATACTGCCATCGTAAAATCAATTCCCTGATTTCATCTATATGGTCGTGTGTGGTCCCGAATGAGGTATCTGAAGGGCAAAAATTATACAGTGCCTTTTGCCAGTCCGTGAGCCAATGCCTAACGCCTAATCGCCAATATCAAATCCGTCCAGCCAGCCAATGCAACGGCCCAAGCCTCTCCTAATCAATATGCCTGGCCTCCAGAACTGACCTGTTCAGCTTGTGATCTCCCAGTCCAGCGATCTTCGCACCGAGGATGGGACCAAGGAAGTCTGTAAGCTCGGCCGCTTCGTGATCTGATGTTCCTCCATTGACGCCATTGGTCATGCTGATGTCGGTGCTACCAACGCTCTGTATAGCCTGAACAATGGCCTCAATGAGCACGGAGAAGGCGAACCCTCCCTGCTCCTGCATCGGCTGGAGGATGGCAGCGTCGAAGCTCTTCAGGTTCGGCAGGACAAGCACACGTACTGCCTCGGGCCCACCAGCCGATGTCAAGCCCTTGATGGCTCCGTAGAGCACTGGCGCCGACTTGCCGGGGTCTAGGAAGTACTTGAGACATGTTCGTGTAAGCTTCGGCCGCAGCAGGGCGTTGCTCTTCGCATAGTCCTTGGCGATCTTCCCCAGCAGACTCGCCGCGAGATCCCGCAGCTCGTACTGCTCTTTGATAGCATCCACGCCCTCTTCGGAGCCCAACTTGCGACTCATAAGGCAAGTCAGGACCGGTGCGCTGAGCGGCGCGGCGTACGGGTCGAGGAAGAGATTGGCGTTCTCGATCAGTGCCGCGGTGAGCTGCATCATCTGCTGCAGAACAAACGTGTCGTCCAGCCTGTGCGTGACCTGGTCGGCGATGAAGTTGACAAAGTACGGGACTAGCTGGTGCAGGCCGGGGTCGGAGCGGACGGACTCTAGGGCGGCCTCGCGCAGGCGCATGACTTCGTCGTCTGGGTTGTCATCTAGAATTGCGCTCTGGATCTTGTCGAAGTAGAGTACAAGTTCCTTCGAGATGATGTGTTTGACGGACGGCCGGAAGGAGACATTATCGTTTCCGGCGAGAGCAGCCAGCGCAGGATTGGCGCCAGGGCCTTTAGGTACGAGCTCTTGTGAGCGAGCTTCGGCAGTTGTGGGATTCTGAGGGATGGAGGGTTGAACGCCTTCAACAGCAAGCCAATGCGCTGGTGGGAGAAACTGTTAGCATAGATGTCCGTGGTCACTGCCACCTATATCGTCACCAGACACTCACCAGTAAAGCTCGTGTCGCGCGGGACTTTGGGAAGCGGCGCATTAATGAGCTTCTCGAAATCCACCTCCTCATCCTCAATATAAAACAGCGGCTGGCCCGGCCCCAGACTGGCCTCGCCGTAACGCAACGGTCGCGTCGATTCGTATCCGTAAAGAGGCTCGACGTCAAGCACCTTCAGGGCCTGCGAGATGTCCTGGACCGTGAGAGTCGTCCGGCTTGCGGCGCGCATGAATCGCAGAGCCTCCACGATGACCTGCCCTAGTCTGTACTCTACGTCTTGTGATAGACAGCGCAGCGCCTCGTCGCTGAGGGCGCCGATGCCCACGGACTCAGCGACATCCTTCACGTTCTCGGGGTTCCAGAGCAGCTTGGGCTCCTCGGGTTTCGCAGCCGGCGTGGCCATCACGGGCTATGTCGAGTGCAGCGTGAATCAATTGCGCGCCACCATCTGAAACTGAGGTGATTAGGGTGTTCGGGGCGATCGAGGCGATGGTGATCAGAATGTATTTAGCATTTAGGAGCGATGTGTTGTAGGTTTAGCTCGCAAGGGATTTGGCGAGGCTCAACCAGGCCGCCTTAGCGTGGCCACCTTAGTGTGGGGTACCTACCTTAGCGACTTCTTGCATCAATCCTGTTTAAAGCGGCCCTACCACATACACCTCCGCCAGGGTAATA